AGATGGTCATGTGTGCAATTTTCGGTTGCTCGTTCAACCGTCTCAATATTGAAGTCAAAAGCATGGAGCATACGCATACCGTCGAAAGGTCTAGCCCGTCAGTCTTCTGTTGTGCGGCCCTTGGGCCCGGATCGTCGACAGGTCCCTTGATTGGAACTTTTGGTCCAATAGTCTATATCCTCCTTGTACTTTTTGCAGATCTATTTCCAGGTTTTTGGTAGCCCTGGAATGTCTGCTCTCATTTTCCAACGTTGGAGACCCACTTTCGTGGTTTTTCAGGTCTTGTGCAAGGGCTTCTATACTCTGCTTCAGTCCGTACAGCACGAAGTATTCTGGCTTTATGCTTGATCCGCCACCTTGTCATTGTGTACTCCGCATGGTTTCTGGGGAAGCACGCTGCGAGGGAAGAGTCCCGAAAAGGATATTGAATGTTGGGGTACGACGGTCTCGGTTTTCTTTCTTTGCTTGTTCGGGCTGTTCTGGTATTTGCGTAAGTGTGAAAAACAGCCCCTGTACGGAGTAATGACCAGGGGATTTCAATATCACGGTCTCCCCCTGATTCAAGATCTCAACTGAGTTCAAGGACAAATACGAAGCCCCCGTCAGCCATCTCCGCTGGACGAGTTGAGTTGTCATTGCTTTTTACTTGTCGCGATGGTTTGGAGATACGAAGGAATCAAAGACAGAGAGGAGTCTAGAAACCGCCCGATTGACCAAACCACCTGACTAAATGCTTAGACCGATCTACCTATGAAAGGAGCTAGAAGCTTTATCTTCTTTTTCTAGTCTGCCATCGCGCAAACCACTGGATTATAAACGTGCTGATCCTGGGAGATTCAACCAATGACCCCTCTGACCCCTCAAGCTGACTGCATCGGGCCATGTGCATCCGGTGCCTCTAAAAGGCGGCTATCTTCTGACAGTTCTCTTTACATTGGATCTTTTGTCCCAAACGGCTGTGGCGGCTGTGAATAAAAGGGCCTTTCTCATAATCGCACATTCTCGCTGGGCGTGTGATTGTGGCGGTCGATGGGCTGAGATGGCTGTCGTTGATTGCTTCTCTGCGCTGTAAAGGAGGGTTCCATCGGTGCCCGGTCTAGACTGTCAGGAATCGAATCCCTGGCGGTGAATCAAGCCTCTTCTCTGCCACTGTCACTTGGGCTCCTTTCACGGCGCGCCACACGATGGTGTCGTGATACGCCTTGGGTGTGGGTGTTGGCAACTCACTGTTGCCTTACGGGTATTTACTTCAGAGCCATAGAACCCCTTTGAGGGTGTTCTGTCGCCAGGCTGAATGGAGCCTCCCCACAATCAGGCTAATTGACCCGGGTCTGTCACCTGCTTCCCCGTCAGCCGTGGCTGTAGCTGGTCCCATAATATTTCGATGTCGACGGAGAAACAAAGCCTGTTACGTACATACAATCAAACATGCATTTCTCAGATTGTACTTTTGAATGAGTCGCGGGATGAAGATGTCGTGATATATACCTCGTACAGGCTGTCCACATCTCACCGGATTGGTTTTGGGACGAACTAGTATTTCTCGTATGACGACTCCGTGTATCCAACTCCGACGGTAGTATCAGAATCGTCCAAAGAAATAAACACAAACGAGCTCTGTGGGGATCGAAATCCGGGGAAGCAACATTGAGGGGACACCCCGGAGTCAGGGCGGCCGCTTCCGGTCAACGCTTGGCCCATTTTCGGACGCAAATAGAATACATCGCAGCAGAAGGCAATAAGCAGAAGGGAGAAAAAGACAGAAATTTTGAAATCATCGAGGTACCAGAATATACCAAGTAAAGTTTGAGGCAGTATTATCGCTTCTCTCATACGTGCCTCATACCAAATGCCCATAGTTCACCCGGGCAATACCCGGAACCATCTACAGATGAGACCAAAGATGCCCAACACAGTCTCCAGGCGACGATGAACCCCCCGATTTAGCGATCTCCGGGTTTGTGATGTGTCGTTGACAGGTGCGCCGTCGTGTGACAAGATCAACAATTCCCCGAAGAGGCGGTAGGAAACTAAATGACCCATATCGCCCAAAAGTGACAGTTCATCGCTTGCAAAAGGGGGCCCAATTTACATAAAACCACGGTCACGAGCAGGAAAGCGAGAGCTTAAGACTCGTCTACTAACAGAACGAAGCCACGTCAATTCACCATGTGTAAATGACCCGGATGATTCAGATTCTAGCACCTAGGGAATGAGGCTGACACAACTCATCCACTAGAACAGCTACCAGCGAACACCAGTACTGACCGAGATATCGATTCTGGCCGGACCATGCTCCTTCTCGCATCCTGTCCGTCCCACATGGAGCCCAGCAGGTCATCTGAACGGAAAGAATACACAGAAAGTCTCCTTAAGCATAACGCGGCTATGCTGATTACTGACGAAAACATAAAAAACAACAAAAGGACTATCGCCCTATTCTGCTACTCCGGACTCCGCACCGGATCTGCAATGTAGCCCAGTCCCATTGAGAACGCAGAACATGGCTGACCACGAACATACCCGGAACCTCCTCCCCGCCCACGTCCTACTAAATGGGGACAAGAGGAAGAAAAAAAGAAGAAGAACCCAACAACCAATCTAAAGCCACCAGTCTCACAGAATTCCAATCTCGCCGCCACGAGAATGGGGCCAGATCGAGACTTGCACTCGTACCTGTCAGCGGAGTCACACCGCAGCGATTCGCATTCGGCCCGAGGTCGAACCAATCCATGTACACAAGTACCTAGTCCGTCCACGCAGGGTACGTTTGTGGCCGGGGGAATCACCCACACGGGTCTGAAGCTGACGTCCGTCTGTGGCGGCTGTCCGTCCGGTTGCCAATATGCCAATGGAATTGCGCTGTTACTCGACCCGCTGCAGGTCATGGGGATCTTTAAATCGATCTGGGATGCAGTGCGTCTCTTGGAGTGAGTTGCTATGTATAGGCATGTGTGATGCATGATATGTTTGCGATATAAGGCCTTTATTCCTGGTACGGCAGTTGCTGCTTCGGTTGGTTTGGAATGCGCTATGCAGGATCTCAAGTTCGATGGGTTCCTTGTGCGGTTGGTGTTTCAAGATACGATGGATAGATGTTGGTGTTATTGTGTCTGGGGATATGGTTGGGGTTTGGGTGAGCGGGATTTCAATGACTTCGCTTTTTTTCTTGTCGAGGCTAAAGGGACTAATGTGACCTGCTATTGTGACGGGAGATATCTCACATATTCAAGTCGGGTTCAGTGATAACTCCGAGCTAGCCTGGAATCTTACTACTCTCCTTACTCCGTACACCGTTCGCATCTAGGAGATAAAGTCGACAAAAAAAGGATAGAGCAAGTCTAGACCTGTCTCGGTCTCAGTCGAGCCGCAGTAAACAGCTGGATTTTGAATCTAGTGATCCACGAGTCGCGGGGAACTGGGGCTGCACTTCCATGCATCGTGAAACCCTGGAAACAAACCCAGAATCCCTGCAAGAAGCTGAAAGCTCTATGATGTGTGTTCAAGGCGACAGGAAGAAAACAAACAAAGGATTTCCTACCTAAATTGCCGAGAAAACATGCAGATCATGACGTCTTTACTGTGATGGGCGTACATCTCTATATCGAGCTATGAGTATACACACAACTGAGACTGAGTACGCGGCCATCACCGTGGGATTCCGATTCGGACGTCTTGCCGAAGACAGCTAAGCTATGAATATCATCTACTTTATGTTCATAATTCCAGTCCGTCCCATAGGCCAATAGGTTGGTGGTGCACGATGATACAACAGAAGGCGACACATTCGGGACAATGAGCTTGTTCTGAACCGGTGGTTCTAAGCCTTGCAAATCCCTCTGCTTTTGTATAACCTGTATCAAAACGTCACTACCGGGGGATGCATAGCACACTCTTCGCCAAGAAGTTACTTCGCCTGTCGTACGAATTACTTCATAGAGTGGGGGTCCAACATGCACCGACGATCTGATCTGCCGTAACGACTTCGCGATCTTATTCCATACACCTATACGGAGTACAGCGAAGTAACATGGTTACCTAGAACTGAGCATCAAAATGCAGAATGACCAGAAATCCTGCCAACGCATCGCCCAGTTGATACACCATCATGACCATCCCTATGCAAGGCTTCAGGTGCCGCCCAAATAGTATACCATAGGCCTAAGCACATTTCTCAACGAACTCATTCTCGTATCCGGGTAACATGGCAATGTAGATGCCCATGATGGACCAGGTCACCGGCTACCAGCTTCCGTTCATCCTGAGTAGACGACCCTATTGGGGAAGATAATGAACAGGGAGAAAAGCATGCATCCCCCCCCCACAGAGACGCACCGAGGTTGAACGGAGAATGGGTTCCGAAAACTCAGGTTTGGCAGTTGATGTGGTGGGAGTGTGTTCGCTGCGCTGTTCCTCGGCATATCGGGTGACCCTTGTGAACACAGACGATCCCACACAATCCCGAATGGAGGCACGGATCTCCCACGAAAACGCGCCTGGTGGTGTGAGCATGCTTCGGGGGTTTGGAGGCTTGGGGGTTTCATCGTGTATTTGTATTTCTCGCGTGCTCGGTGCTGCTTTTGGCCTGGAATTACACGCTATCATCTTGTGGTTCCGAGGTAGGAGTTGTGAGACTGAAAGGAGGTATTCGGTATGGGGGATTGGTGGGTGAGACGAGGATATGCCACGCCCATGGAGGTTGGGATGGGCTTGTATATAAATATGCTGTGTGGAGGAAGTACACATACGATTGAGAATCAGATGCAAATCGCGGCTATTAGATCGCTTAAGTATCTAGATCTTTACAACTTAGGGAGTTCCAAATCTAAGGTGTCAGGGCAAGAGACCAAAAGCAGTAGCGAGATAGAGATATTATCAATCCTTTCGTTTTCATTGAAACTAAAAGGGTTCTATGTAAGGGACCATGTTTTTACATAGCAAGCAAACCAGAATCATCAGTTTTTTTCTTTTACCATCGTGGAATAGGATTAGAGTCTGATCTAGAACTCAGACTCATCATCACCGGAGATAATGACGTTGTTGATCTGAAACAGGATTAGCATGGGGTGCAACAAAACTCGAGAATGGGAGTAGTACCTTAAGAACCATACGGCACAGCTGAGTAGCAAGCAGAAGTTGCTGGCGCTTGCCGATCAAGGGGTCAATGGCGAAGTGCTCACGCATGTCTACAGAACAAAAGTTAGCCGGGGAACAGAACTCTGAGCATGGGATGAGCTTGGGTGCTTACCATTGGTGCCGGTCATCATGCAGTCAACACCAAGGCGGGTGTTCTTCTCCTTGACCTGGCGGGACTTGATAGAAGCAAGAGCCTCGATAGGGCTCAAGCCAGAGTTCTCGGCAAGGGCCAAGGGGATAGCATCCAGAGCGTCGGCGAAGGCGCGCATGGCATATTGTTCAATGCCGGGGCTCTTGACAGCGGCATCCTCAACGGCGAGGGAGCAAGCAATCTCAGCAGCACCACCACCGTAGACCACACGGTTGTCACGGACCAAGTTGCGGACGACACACAAAGCATCGTGTAGTGACCGCTTGGCCTCATCAATGATCTGGAAATACGGCGTTAGCAATCCACAGAATCCCAGATTAATCATATGGAGATTGACCCACCATCTTGTTACTTCCACGAACGAAAATTGTGACTGCCCGAGTATTGGCGCACTCCTCAATCACCAGCATCTTCTCTCTCGTGGTTCCGAAGCTCATCTCACGGACTCTGCCAGCTGTGCCAAGCTTATCGGAAGAGAGATCCTCAAAGCGGGGCACGATACGGCCGTTTGTGGCAATGGCGATCAGCTCGATCTCAGGTCCACCAACCCATCGGACGGCGGGCAAGTCGTTCTGGAGCAGAAGGTGGTTGGCCTCGTCGTCGAAGCCCCACTGGCAGATAACCAGGTTGGCGCCAGAATCCTTCAATTGTTGAATCATTTCTGTGAACTTCTCCTTCTCGTAGTCTTGCAACTTCTTGAATTCCTCAACGGATGTGATGTCAAGCTTGTGCTTGGTCTTGGGCTTAGGGGGCTCGAAGGGACAGGTCAAGATAGCCAACTTGGCATCTCGAACCTCATCAGGCATCTGGGGGTGAGAGAAGTCCTTGTCCACAATAACACCCTGGACAAGCAGGGAATCCTCGAGTGATCCGCCAACCTTGCCATCCATCTTGATCAACTCGAAGTCGACATCTTTGCGCTCGAAATCGGCAACCGAGAGCACAGCATCCACAGCGATCTTGGCGAACTGGTCGTGAGACTTGGAGACACTGCGGAACCTGTTAGCACCTAGCACATACCAATAAACAGCCAATTATCCATACATCTTGCTGCCCAGACTGGTCTTGGCCACTTTAAGGAGGTTGGTGGTATCATCACGGCTGAAGTTAATTTCGTCACTGATCTTATCGAGCTCCGCAACGGCGATCTCGCAGGCCTGGTCGTATCCGTCGGCTATACGAATGGGGTGGATACCCTTGTCAATGAGATCCGAGGCTTGTTCCAACATGGCCGCTGCCAGCACGACAACACCAGTTGTGCCATCACCGATTTCCTCATCCTGAGACTTCGAAAGTTCGACCAACAGCTTCGCAACATTGTTTGTAATATCCATCTGTTATTGTCCACTGTATCAGTTTCTTGCGTGGCAATTGGGTATCTCGAAGGAAAGGGGGAGTTCGGGGACGGACCTGTCCGAGGATGGTAGCGCCATCATTGGTAACGGTGATATCGCCGTCGGCGGAGATCAAAATCTTATCGAGACCACGAGGACCCTAGAAATGGGAGTCAGATATTGTTCCATTCATCGCTTGTCGGTGTGCCATACCAAAGAAGATTTAACAATGCTAGCCACCGTCTTAGCGGCAACAATGTGTGACTTAACGGCCTCGGTGCCATGTTGTCTCTTCTTCTTTCCCTGACTGTTTTATGAAAAAATAACCGTCAGTCCCAAACATCAGATCTCCAATTCACAATGGTATTTGAAACCGGAGAGTAAAGCATAGCGGTGAACGTACTCCCGAACGACAATAAACGGCCGTCCCTGTTCGTCCTTCAGGACCGAAGCTACCCCTGAGTATTAGCGACCGGATTCGAGTTGTGCCAGAATAGTCAAGGTCTAATCACCTTGAGACATATCAAGCTCTGTTGAAGGTCCAAATTCACATCGTTAGCAACAGCACATTTCAAGAATGAGGGGTATGGGGGTGCGGCCTTACGCATTGCCATGTTGACGGCGGACTGCCACCTGGCAGAATATAGTGATTTTAGAAAGAAAGCGCCGACAAGGAGACCAAAAGTCAATCAAGAGTGAGCAACAAGACAAAGCACACAGAGAACTTGCAAGTTGAGCCTTGAGGGGGAGCTTCCCGAAATGCACTTTTGACAAATGAAATTCTGACTGCCCAAAGCGGTCTAGCGTCTCTTGTCCGCCTTCAACGCGTTTCTGCTCCCCGACTCCTCTGCCAATTGATCTAAATGCGACAGAGTCTGGTCTGAATTTACTACTGCAATTGAGGGTACTGTCCTCTAATCGCCAATCTGTTTTCCAAGCTATCGCAGCTCATCTCCCCCCTCAACCGCAACATGCCTCGTGAGTGGTCATTCCCAATGTTGATTTGTCGCGCGCGCAATGTTTAGTATCTCGGCTGACCGTGATTCTACTAGCCGCGTTTATCGAGGAGGTGTCCGATGAGGAGTCCGGCGATATCCCATTCAGAGATGCGCCGGAAACTAACGGCACAGATGATCAGGACGCCCAGGAGGAGGATGACGACGAGGAAGATGACAGCCAAGAGGAGGGAGTGTGAGTTGCGGATCCTCGCCAGCTTACGGATATATCATTCTGACTGAATGCAGCTATGTCGTCGAAAGCATCGTTGACCATGCATGGCTTGATGACGTATGTCGAACAGAACCAGCCACATTGTACCTCTAGAAGCTAATTAAGGTGTAGGGAACTCTTAAGCTCCTCGTCAAGTGGAAAGGCTATGAAAGTGAGAAAGATCGGACATGGGAGGAGGAGGAAGGTCTCATGTACGTCTTTGGACTCGTCGAGCTCCAACTGCTGCCAGGCGCATTTATTAATAAACAACATAGGGACGGAGCCGGTGCGATTGTCACAGCATACTACAAGAAAATTGGCGGGAAGCCAGAGAAGCCCGCCGAGAAAGCTACACCAGCAAAACCTGGTCGTAAGCGCAAATCTATGGGCACTGCGAAGACAAACACGCCCAAATCAGAATCCGCAGCAACTGGGGCAAAGAGACAGCGCCGAGTTAGCGCCGCCACCAAGGAGACGGAGAAAAAGCAGGAACCCACTCCATTGGAAGAAAACGGCATCGGATGGCTCCCAAAAGGGAAGAACTGGGATAAGGACGTGCATCGGGTGGATACAATTGTCAAGGAGGACGATGATGTTCTTATGGCCTGCCTCGAGTTTAACAACGGACACACAGCAAAACTGCCTCTTCACGCCTGCTACGAGAAATGTCCTATGAAAGTATGTGAATCGTCCAGAGCCGGGAAACGAAAAAAGGAACTAACCGTTGTCTGTCCAGATGCTTGCTTTCTACGAACAACACCTGTAAGCCAAGCTTCCCAACAGGGTATAGATATACGATGCTAATATCTTTCTCAGAGTTTTTAAGGACACGCAACTCTAAGATATCCCATACGACTTTCGCAATGACACATATATCACCATGTCGAAAACAGTACATGAATGTGATATCTCTAGCTCATCTCTTCAACCTCAGTTGTGGAATAGCAAGTGGGCACTGCTAGAATACTCGCGGGCTACTTCTATTAACGCATCTTGAGTCCATTACCCTCTTGCCTCATTTCGAGTTTCAATTTCTTCTTTGCGTTCAGGGAAGGTCAATACCGGTGTCTTCGGAGAGTATTTCATTTCAGGCAGCACGCTAATATCCATGTACTTCACAATCGAATTCTTCCATTGTAACAATTCTTCGTGCAATTCCTAATATTGTGGCTCCCGTGGGTATTAATCAATGAGCCCTGTCTGTCGAGCCATGCTGAGATACTCCCACCTATCCATATACGCTTCTTCTCCATGCTTTGTCAACGCTCGCTGCACTTGTGAATGTTCACTTGCTTGCAGAGAGCTGTCGTCCTCAGCTGTCCAGACACCGGACATGTTATCTGGAATGCCCTTTCCAGCACTGAGATATTCCAGGACTTTGTCAGCCATCTCTGGGATCATGCTTGTACATCGCAGAGCTTGGAGCACGTCGGATTCTTTGGCGCCTAGGGCGACTCGTTGATCAATCCAAGTGTCAATATCGGGTGTCTCTGGAGCATCATCGTCAATCACCTCAGATGTTGGACTGGATGGTAAGAATGGAAGCTCTAGGAAAATGGGATCCACTGGGTCTTCAAAGACATCTCGAACTGGTGGTCTGGGCTTCGGTTGTTGCTTATTGAACCGACCAGACTGTGCGAAAGCATTGTCTCCCAATGGTCGGGCTTGACGCGGTAGGGCTGATTGTGCTGGTGGTGCTGATGGTGCTGGTGGTGCTGATGGTGCTGGTGGTGCTGGTGGTGCTGGTGGTGCTGGTGGTGCTGGTGGTGCTGATGATGGTGCTGATGGCGCTGATGGTGCTGATGGTGCTGATGGTGCTGATGGTGCTGATGGTGCTGGTTCCCTCGTCACATCTGATGGGTGTATCAAAGTCTCACGAGTGATACTGCGAAGGGTTTGTGTTGGAGTATCTGAGACAGGAAGCAGATCCGGAATCCCAAGACCAGCAAGTGGTTTTGTAATTGAGAACGACACATGAGAAGAGCTGTGTTCTGGACGTGAAACTGAGGGTCGTGCCGCTGCCACATGTGATGATGATGGTTCGGGCCTCGGATTTTCAGGACGGGGACGGCGTGAGGAAGGGCCTGTAGGTATAGAGACCTCAATTGCTCTTCTTTTTGTTGGCGAAACGCCAACTCGGGGTCGACTCGGCGCTTCAGGCATTGAATCTCGTTTTCGTTTTGGGTTATTTGATGTAGTAGTTTGTACCGGGGCAGATCGTCCTGTTTGAGGAACTTTAGATTTGGATATTGCTGCGGAACCTTTGGGAGAATTTCGGGAAGGCAAAGTCTTTGGGCGTTCTCCTTGACGTGGTGCACGTCGTAAAATCTCAGCATATGATGATGGGGTGCCACCCCCTGGACGGGCCTTTCCACGGAGGTGCTTTACGTATCTACTACGCCATGATTGCCATGGATGGCAGGGAAACTGCGTTTTCCTAGTCAGCATCGAGGTCATGTTGTCTTTTGGAAAACAGGAGAGGTCATAGTACCAGTTCACTTAAATCTTGGTAAAACCTATTGCCTTGAACAGGCGCCCCTGGCTCTCTTCCAAAGTGTTCAATCCAGTCAAACACGAGCTGATCTTCTTGCAAGGTAAAAAAAGATCTTGTGCTTTTGGTGGGAATGTTTGATGCACCCATTGGACGTGGTGCAGATGGTCCGACTCGGTGGGCTTCTAGATCTTCAAGCTGTCCATTCTTGATGGAACGCTCCACATATTGATAGGAGAAGCTATTGATGAATCAGTACTCAATACACTGATATGACCTAACAAAGAGGTCCCGTACGTGTCATCGGGAAGGTCTCTTCTGGTGTGATCCACCAGCTTCACATCAGCATCCTTCTCCATCAGGACGACAGTACCGCCATATTCCTACACGGCCGTTAGACTCTGAATATAGAAGCAGAATACACCATGCACAGCTCACCTTGATCAGTTCTTTAAACCTCACCCTTTGCGGGACGGTCATAGACACCCAGAATCGAGCGCCTCGAAACAAATTCATTCTCGCTTGCCCTGTCTGAAATGGATGATTTTTTTAAAGATGACAATTCTTTTCATCATGAACTCAGGTCCAAAGATTATATTTGAGCTTTCACACTCAAAGGGAAGCCAGCTTTGTTTGGGACACGCAAGCACGTGTGAACGTGTTGCAAGGGGCTTTTTGGGCATTCAATAGCGAATTGTATTGCAGATCAAATAAGGTCTGACTCACTCTTGTGTCAGTCCCTGAATTCGATAATACGAGACACCGGCAGCCCCGATAAACAAAGCACTAGATGAGGTGGTTGATCTACGCGGAGGATAAACACGTAGTCACGTGCATCGACGAAACCGATGACTTGCAATGAAAACGCGCTGACCGAGCACCAGTCAAGGAAGCTAAATATCACCAAGGCATCTCTGGGAGGATGCAGAGTGAATACCCTGTCCTTTGATATTGCCGATAGAACTTGAGATTCAGAATGGGGGCTCTCAGAACCGTCGGTTTGGTGATCCTGGCGATCTCGGTATTCACGTTTGTTGCGTTATTTGGCAGGCTGCCGGCTTTCCGGTAAGAAAAGCCTGGTTGTCTAAACTGAAAGGCCTCTACTGACAGCTCTAGGAAAACTCCCGTTGCATTCTTTCATCGGGTACTGTGGGTGTACTTTCCTAATGGGATTGCTGTTGTCGACAATCACTTGTTCGGCGGGAGAGTAGTACGATGCTGGAATCGATCTGGCAGTTATATTTTGAAGGAAAATCATCCGTTCGTGCTCGTGAGTCCAACAGTATAGTTTAAGTTTTTGCATATACTGACTATACATACTAGATCTTCTTTGTCTCCTTGCTGGCCATTGGAGAAGCTGTATTTGTCCCGGCCGCATGGCCTCGACTATCAAGCTTGCATCAATTCTGGGTACTAGTGGCTATTATACTGCCATATTTCCTACTCTTTAAGTGTGTGATGACGAAGTCATTTATCACACCGGAGAATCACGGGGAAGAGATGAGACGATACCCCTACGACCGAGTTCTTTTTCACCCAGGTCACCGTTGTAGCACGTGTGATTTCCTCAAGCCAGCACGCAGCAAGCATTGCAGCTTCTGCCAGGCGTGTGTCTCTCGGCATGATCATCACTGTGTGTGGTTGATGAATTGCGTTGGGGCCAACAACTGCGTGTACTTCATCTCGCTTTTGATCTCGCTCTCTGGTATGTTGGTTTACGGCAACTATCTAGGGCATTCCCTACTTTATGACCTCCTGAAGCAACGGGTCCCGTTGGAGATACAGGAGTCCATGCAGGGCTGGACAGCTTGGATCAACACATGGAGCGCTGTGATCGCTGCTCATCCTAGAATAGGGACAGTCTTCTTGCTGATGCTTATGACTGCGCCGCTGGCAATTTCTTTCATGGTGTACCATGCTTACCTTATCTGGGCTGGAATGACGACGAACGAGACCGCCAAATGGTCTGATTGGAAGGAGGATGTGGAAGATGGCTTTGTCTTCAAGACTAGACAGAGTCTCATATTTGACGGCCCAATTCCTATTGATCCCTATGATCAACTGTGGCCTGTACGTACTGATCAAATTCTTGTCACTGATGAGAATCCTCCGACTGAGGGATGTCTGTTGTCATCCAATTCCAATTGCATCGCTCGTCGCCCTGGAAGCGACCTGCCACCTGACCCTCGGTGGAAGCGGCTGCACAGCATGAGGGATATCGACAACATCTACGACCTAGGCTTATGGTATAATCTTCGGGACGTGATAGGACTATCTGTCCGTCGATCGAAGGACATATCCAGTATCTAGGCTTGCTAAACGAGGGGTTTGTGTTGAAACTGGCTATGGTATGATAACTAATTAGCACTAGATCCACACCTATTATTGGAACTCTGCAAGACATGATATTATCCCGATGTACCGTAAGCTAACTTCCTGTAGAGAAACGCGAGGATGTTGATTTGGGGTATACAACAAGGCGGTGGAAAGGACGGTGAATTGAACGAACCACAAATCGGATGGACAAATGAGCGGCGAGCTTACTGCCGGAGGAAAATTTGTCTCTCCACACCTCCGAATCTTTGATTCTCACATCCCACTTTGATCTCCCCCGCGCTGTTTACTTGATACGCGTTGCAGCTTGGTTTCTCTTTGCACCATGGCAGAACCAAAGCCATTATGCACACCAGCCGAGCTTATGCTCAAGGTGATCCTTGCAGGTACCTTGAGCCATTACGAAGTTCGGGGCATGATCGATGACAAACGCCTGGAGCACATGCTTGCCGCTGGAAAGCAGATCCTGTACAAGACACACCAGGAGAGCGATGTTCGGTAAGACATTGGTGCCATGATATACTCTTGTACTTTGCATGCTAACATATCACGCGTTGCTAGTCATAATCTCGGCATGTCGTCGGATATCTGGCAAGGTCTCACCAACGTCCTCACAAAAGCGATCCCAGTCCTCGAGTCCCAATCCTTCGCCTGGAAAAGCCCCGCAGCATCCTATGAACACTCCTCCGCCAATTTGATCGCATACAATTATTTCTCATTGGTCAAGGATATCGAGCGCCTCAATGACTTGTGTACGATTGCCCGCAATCTTCTGGCTACAACCAAGAAGGCGCAAAACCTTGCGGCGGAAACAGGTTTCGATCAAAGAATTCTAGCACTTATCGACACTTGCGTTCGGGTCACAGCTCGGGGATTTGATGGCGAGCAAAATGCGCGAAACGAGGAGCGATGGCAGAAGGTTGTCAACCTCTACAAGCGCCTGTTGATTACGTGCCTGCAGTACCTCCACAACTTCATCATGCACAACGAACATCGCAAGATGGTGCTTTGGTTGGATCTGTTTGGTTACCATTCGACTGCTGATACGAACATCATCAAGCCGAAGGAGCCCTTGGACGATGCCAGCTCACGAGAAGGAGTGGCGCCTATCGTGCAAGTCGGAGAGCGTGTCATCAACCCCCCGATCCGCGCGCTCTACGACCAAACTGCGGAAGATCTACTTCTCGAAACAATTGCCAAATTCCCGCGGGAGCCGGCAACTATCAAGGAAGAGGCTGCTATGCTGCTTCTGGCTAACATCAAGGATCACATGGAGAAGATCCTTGGGCGAGATCTCAGTGAGATTCAGGAGATGGGTAGAGACCCAGAACAGGTCCAGGAAATCCGTACTGCTTTGACCAAGATCCTTGGAGCCAAGGTTGATGGTTGGTCTGATCTTCAGGGCCGGGCTCGTGAGGTCCCAGCTGTGCTTCCGGAAGAACAGCATGAGGAGCACGAAGATCAACAGGACGAAGCGCATGTCAGCCACGATGAGCACGAACAGGAAGAGGAAGAAGAACACGAGGTGGCCAAGAAGAAGACCATTTTGACTATCGACCGCAGTCTCACGGCTGGCTTCCCTCGCCTTTGCTGGGCTGATTTGCCCGAAATTAATGACTTCGGTGCTGTGGATGGCCCTGTTACGGACGAAGATACAAGCATGCCCCGCTCGGCTCAGTCGGCCGCCGAAACTCTCCAGGAGGCCAAGGACGAACTTATGGCTCGACTTCAAGAGCCATCGCACATTGATGGCGACGAAGATCACGATTATGATCACGGAGACGCACACACAGTCGGCGACGATGACTCACGCAGCCTAGAGGCCATGGCCGACGGAAGTGTTGATGGAGATGGGGAGGATGATGTGGATGATGATGGAGTTGACGGGGACGCCGATGACGATGAAGAAGAGGATGATGAATATCGTGGCCGTCCTGGTGATCAGCAGCGGGGCCTTCTAACAGACATTCCTCTGGTCCTCGGACCCGCCGAAATCGAAGCACTGCCAATGATTGTTCAAGCCGGTATTGTCGACAGCTTTGGTCTCAAAGGTGGCGAGCGGAACGGATCTAGGAACATGCAAGCTCTTCGTTGCCACATTCTGCTCACGCAGGAGACAGGACGCAATTTGCTTCGTGAACTATTGATATTCATTGCGGCGTGGGATCTTCCCGACGATGAGCTCTACTTCAAGATGATGGTTCAGATTATGGAGGCCGTCCTCAAGAACGGCCTTATGTCTCATGCCTACTCGGACTTTGGACAGCCTAAGGACATCATTTCTCCAGCACAGGCTGTGGTGATCAAGATTCTTACCCACATCTTCCGCGCCAAGTACTCCCCTGCTTCAGTGACGGGCTCCGCCCAACCCAACATTCCCCGTAGCCCAAGCTCACTCAACCGAGTCGATATCCTCACCGTCCGATACATCTTCACCATCTTCCGCGGCAACATCATCCCCGAGACTTGTGCTCTGATCTACCTCCAAGGCCAAATTCGGGCCGAGCGGGCTCTCTCGGAGGACTTCCCCCTAAATCTGTGGGACATGGAACGGGTGTACGAGGGTGTTTACCAGTTCTTGGAGTTCTTCGCCGTGTTGACCGAGAACAATGACTGGAAGAACCTACTAGTCAAATGGGAGATTGTCTACGACCTCGTGACATTGATCAAGGAGCTGGAAGCAAGCATCCCCAAGGGCCAACTGAGCCAATTATCCTTCGGTTCCGTGCCCCCACCCCCCTCCTCCCCGAAACGACGCAAACGACACATCCAGCACTGCTCCCCCAGCCCCCGTTGCTGTCGAGCGTCCCTACGACCCCACCGACGCCGACCCCATCGACACCGGTGCCGGCAGCGTCGACTCCCGTCCCGAATCCCCACCTATCACCGAGGATCCCTCGGAATTCGAATGGCGCAATCTCAAGAAACTGGTTGTACTCGTCCTATCCTCGCTCGTCTGGAAATGCCCCGATGTACAAGAGCAGATCCGTCGCTATGGCGGTGTCGAGGCGATTCTCTGCTGCACTGCTTTCGACGCGCACAATCCATACATCAAGGAACATGCCGTGATGTGTCTTAAGTTCCTGCTAGAGGGTAACCGCGAAAACCAGCGTCTTGTTGAGGAACTCGAAGCTCGCGAGGTCGTCAGTAATGACGGCGGTGTGCTGGAGAGGAGTGGCTATGAAGCGATGATCAACCAGGCCGGCAAGTTGGCCATTCGGTCCAAGGCTCGGGCTGAGGAAATCTTATGAAACTTACGTGTGATGAATACCGTACCGAATACTGTACATATAGTAGACGGAGGAAGTTCTGAATGATACTTGAGAATGATTACAATGATTTGTTTCTATACATCTGTAGAATGTGTGGTTATGTCCTCGACTCATGAACAGAACCTATGTATAGGAGCCGTCAGTATCTACATTGTTACTGTGAGCATTCCTAGTAGAGTATAGCTAGATATGTTTCAGGTTTAGTTGGATTATGCGTTCCTATGGCCAGCAAAGTAATGATTAGGTTTAATCTAGGTCTAATAGGCTGGCAGGTGTGTCTATCAGGCCTTTTACCAGGACTACAGATGGTGAGTCGGTTACTGCGCGCAGCGCCTAGAGTCCTTCTCTCCGCCATAACACCCAGCTATCCTAATAGACGCACCTAATAAAGCAGGCAAAAAAATAACCGCACCTATAGCAGATATCACTCGACGTAAGATATCCATCATAGGCACATTCAGGCACGTCGTAGCATCACCAAAAGAATTCTGGCCCTGCGAACCGCCCAACCAAGTTCAAGAAATCCAACTCCCTACCCACAGCCGATCAAGGTGAGCCCACCTCAAACGACACAGGAGTATAGGGCAGGGACGCAGAACGACCCACTCAGCCCGAATAATCTCATGCGCTATCCCTACGCATAGGAGGCATCCAGCTATCCGGCTTCGTGACTTGCGTCTGTTGTCAGGAGACAAGGGGAGGGTTGAGTGTATGGCCTGTTATACTTTCAGTCTATGAAGCCCGGAAGTTGCAGGTGGGTGGATAAATGATCCTCCAATTGCTCAACGCGCCATGTCAGTTCTTTTACGTCCTTTAGGAGGTAAATGCCCGACTCGAGATCGAGAGTGCGAGTGCTACGCAGCTTCGGCCAGAGCTGTATGGCGTTGTACTCTGTCCACTCCTTGACAAGAATCATGATTACCATGATGGTCAGTCCTAGTATTAGGAAAAGGAGAACGAGGGCGAAGGTTTCTAGGGAGGGGGGCATTGTGGGGGGTTGGATATGGGAAGTACCTAGGTATCTGGTCTGTTAGAATGGTTAGTGGTGGATGGAAGAGGTAGGGTGAGGGGGGCGTGATGAAATGGAGAGATAGATACCAAGAGGATTTGTTGAAACCACGGAAAACTGGTCTGTGGCTTGGTATCCAGTGTAGTTGAGGATGGGGTTTCGGATCCTGTGCTGTGAGGATGTGTTGCGAGATGGGAGATGCTCTCTGTCCGGAGGAGGAGGTATATATACTCGAAGCTCGGGATATTCCGAGGCCGAGGACGGTGGCTTGACAATGAGATTGTATGTGAGTTCTCACAAAGGAACAAAGACATCAAAGAACTATGAGAACAAAGAGAGGAACAAAGGTCTTTGAGGCAATTTGAGTCGGATGATTCGAAGGCGAACATATCTCGAATGTCGAAGACTACTTTGTCCACAGTTTATAGTGTAGTATACACTCGATATTCACATCATCCGCAAGTAAATCATACGAGGATCGATAGGAGGCAGAATACAGAATACAGAATACATACTTGGATATCCATGGATACGTGGACTGCCCAGCTTGAGTTCTATATCAATCCTAACTCGAATATACACAATGGATGCAATAGTCATTCACTCATGCTCAGAAAGGCAATACTGCTATGTGATCATCATAAAAGACGTTTTCCAAGTCCGTGTAAATGCATAATCCCTTCGCCGATCTCTTCAGCCATACATGCCATCCCACTCCTCCTCTTCATCTTCCTCAACAAGCTTCTTCTTCGCCTCCGCCTTCTCTCTCAGCTGCTTCGCAAAGTCCACCCGGTCAAGCGGGCACGTTCCGCGCAACCGCAACCAGGGCCGCACGCACTCCATATCGAAGCGGTGTGTCGGGTGGCAAGGCAGCTGGACGACGAGCGGGTACGGGTCTTCCACGAAGGGATTGTTGCAGATAGGGCAGATGTCAGAGGGTTTGAGGGATGCTTTGGGAACGCGCTCGAGCACTAAAGTTGGGTGTGGTCAGTCAAGGAATATACAATTTGAGGACCCCTGCGGGGTAAAACACTGGATGCAGCAAGTTAGCGAGGGGGGTTCTTCTTACTATCGCAGAATTCCTCGTCCACACCCTCCACCTCCCGAGGCGGTGTATCTGCTTGCGAGAGCAGGGACTGGATCATTGTGGTCAAAAGATCGCGGCCGGTATCTGAGCTGGCGTTATCGGCTCCCTCCTGCGCATCTGCGCCGGGCGCTGAGTCGGTGTCGCGGCGCATCATCTCCAGCGCCTCGGCGAGAGAGTAGAATGCGGCGCTCACATCTCCTGGGACAGGGACTGCATGGGGTCTGTGGTCGGGAGCTGGAGTGATCTCGGACAGAGTAGAGAAGAAGGTGGAGAGATCGGGGCGACGGCGGCGCGGGGTTTGAGCCGTTGAGGGGTCGGTAGTGTTATGTTCGACTAGAGGAATGATGTTAGCTTTGGATCTTCTTGGACTACAACTGTGGATTATCGAAGAACTCATACTTTCGTAGGTCGACATGGTTGTGGATGGGGAGATTCGGGGTCAAGCTGTAGCTGTTTTAAAAGAGGATCTGGGCGGGGAGAGCCCCGGTGCTGTTCCGTGACACCTTCGATTGTTTGCTTTGTAGCACCTGGGCGAATTCTGCAAAAGCGCAATGCTGGGGAATTGACTGTAATGGATGTTTTCCAAGTTTCGCGAAGGCACCAGCTCGATAACGCGGCGGGGCGGTTGATTGGTGCGTCACTATACAGGCCCTGGAGCTCAACGAGGAAATTGGTCAGAATTGAGAGGGCGAGTTTCTAAAACCTGGATACTGGACATCTGCAATTTCAAATTAAATCATTCATTCGTGTTGCAATGTATTTCTAGAAGTGCTATGTCAATGTACCTACACGTTGGGCGTGTAAGGAAATATATAAGCAAGGGCCATACCTGATAGCTGAAGGGCTCAAGCTAAGAAATATATAGAATACAAACCTAGCATTTGACTGGGATTTCTATTATTTGAAACAATCTAGGTTGTTATTATCTAGTCACTTCTTCTCATCGCAACAATACACGTCCACCAAAGCTCCATTGATCCAGGGACTTACGTACGTGGAAGTATACGAGGTAGGGATCATTAGTGGATGACGCGACGAATATGCTTACCAACCCTCTCATTTTCTTTCCTCAAAATGGATCTCATATCTTCTCAGTTCACTCCTTTCATGTCCTCGATGGCTTCGATTTTGACGAATACTGTACCCTGGCACAAGGGCGAGGAGCAACTACACCACCTGCTCCGAGCCCCTCATGGGGAGAACCCAACTACGCCGTACCTGAGCCAACGAGCAGCATTCCTGGTGCAAGAAGCCCCGCTGCTTGCGCTAGGTACATTAGACTCACAGGGCCGGCCATGGTCAACGATATGGGGCGGTACAGCGGGCTTTGCAGAGCCAGCGACCGAATCATCGCTAATCGGGCTCCGGACACAAGTAGACAGCAAATACGACCCCGTTGTCCGGGCACTTTTGGCCAACCGTACTGATCAATATCCAGGAAAGATGGTTTCGGGTCTAGCAATTGACCTGGAGCACCGCCGTCGAGTGAAGTTGTATGGCCGGATGGTGGCGGGCTCGCTATCGGATACAGACGCAGGGCAGGCAAAATTGATTGTCCATATTGAAGAAAGCCTTGGGAATTGCCCCAAATACATGAACAAGAAGCATATTGTGCCTGCACTGCCTGATCCAAAGCTGAGATCGGACTCGCCTCAATTGAGTCTTGCTGCAAGTGAGCTGCTCTCTCGTGCGGATACTATGTTTGTATCTTCGTCCTATGAAGCAATGACCATGGATACGAATACTCGTGGAGGTCCGGCGGGATTCATGCGTGTTGAATCCAATAATGCTAGCGGTGCTGTGATTGTTTATCCCGAGTACTCGGGAAACAGACTCTATCAAACGCTAGGGAATCTAGCAACCACCCCTCTGGCCGGTTTTGTGGTTCCGGATTTCGACACAGGCAATGTTCTTTATTTCACTGGCTCTACAGAGACACTGGTTGGGAAAGACGCAGCTGCCATCTTGCCTAGGTCAAATCTCGCCGTGCGAGTTACCATTGCTGCTGCAGTCTTTGTTGAGAATGGATTGAGCTTTCGCGGCGAGGCCGGGGAGCTTTCTCCATACAACCCCAGTGTACGATATCTCGCCGCTGAGAAACAAATACCAGGAACTCGGGAAGATGCAAATTCAGACATAACCGCAACGCTAATCAAAAAGGAAACCATCACACCATCCATCCAACGATATCGATTCCGCACCTCCAGCCGCAAATCAATCGCATGGAGAGCGGGACAGTATGCCACACTGTCTTTCGAAGACCAGCTTGACATGGGCTATAGCCATATGCGAGAGAATGATCCGACCAGTTTGAACGATGACTAGACCTCCGCACCAGCCCGCAAAGCCCAAAGCCCAACCCGCCCCAACCCGCAAATGGGCTGGGCTTTGGGCCCGGTCCCTGGGCCCATCGGTGGCTATGGGCCTAGGGTAGAAGCCCACTGGGCTTTTATGGGGGCCCAATGGGCTTCAAACAATACAAACATGCTAATGCTTGGCAGATACATAAGTAATGCAGATTTTTCTAGTATTTCTAGGTATTTAGATTACCCCCTAAATTGACTACCTATAGGTGCCTGAAATGACTGAAATAACTGAAATGACTGAATTGACTGAATTGACTGAATTGACTGAATTGACTGAATTGACTGAATTAATAAATTTGAGATTTATGAAATTTGAGAAAAACGTAAATTAATAGAAAGATGCACTAACTTCTCTCCATGTGAAATATATATATTTGCACATTAATTCTCTGTCACCTGTTGAACCCCCGTATTAGGCTAGATCAGGGCCGGCGCCGAGATCTTCCGCGGTAAGTATACAGACTCAAACATGTGTAAAGAACAGACATTAATCAGCAGGTTTATGAGTGCCAAGACTGTATTTATGCATACAAATGGGCTTTAATGGGGGCCTCATGGGCCCCCATAATGGGCCATGGGCTTGGTTGGGCTTCGAAGGTAGGGCCCAACCAGGCCCATTGCGGAGGTCTAACGATGACTACGTTCGGACCTTTACTGTATCTTCGTACCCCGGTCGCGATATGCCCGATGATCAATTCGAGATTATGGTCCGACGACACGGACCCGTAACTAAATATCTCTCTCAAGTTAACGAGCGGGCCGGTGTGGAAGTCTCACTCAAAGGATTCGGTGGAAGCTTCCATGTGTCCACCGAGTCCATCGCCCCCTACGTGGCGGGTGGTATTGGGATTACGCCCCTCCTCGCACAACTTCCAGACCTGGAGATCTCCAAGCTGCGACTATTTTGGTCGATTTCAATCGATGATTTGGGACTGGTACATGATACTTTTCAAGGATGGCCTCAGTTGCCCCTGTCAACGACTTTGTTTATCACGCGCGATGTGGAGCTCGATGGAGCCGATCGGCAGATGTGGGACGCCCTTCAATCGTCTGGGGTGCAACTGATACGACGACGGATGCAGGCCGAGGACTTAGACCTCGCGCTAGCAGATGTGTGGTATCTCTGTGCCGGCGTGGCTCTGAAGCGGATGATTCTGAATTGGCTAGGGGGAAAGACAGTGATCTATGAGGATTTTAACTATTGAAGCCCGAGAACAGCTTGAAACCTATCAGAGACAAAAGCCAGAATATGTAGATTGAAACTGCACTGCCGCAGATATAAATAGCCATGACGCACTCCAACGTGCCGAGTGGAGCGCCGATCAGATGTGTACCTTTTGTCGGGGCCTTTCGCAGGATTGCATTCTTGCATCTACAACCTCTTCGCATCGAAAACCATGCGATCAACTTCCGTCAAGCCCTCGGCATACCCGCCGCTGCCATTCCACATCATTCGCTTCCTGATCTTCCTCTCCTCCGTGGTTGTAGGCGCGATCCTAGCCGTATTTACCTACCACCTCCACGCCGATGGCTACAAACTACCCTATTCATTCCTAGTGGTGAGTCTAAGTTCACAAACCCCAATCCAGCCTCAAAGAACAAAAAACTAAAGAGATATTCAATCCAGCTCTTCGTCTCAGCCGGCCTCTCAATCTTCAACATCCTCCTAACCTCCATAATCCACTGCAGCCGCGGCCTCTCCACAAAAGTCTCTCTCGCCCTCAACATCCTCCTCACAATCCTCTGGGCCCTCTCCCTCGGCCTCATGAGCTGGAGCCTCGCCCACACCATCACAACCTCCTGCACCGCCAAATACTGGGGTCCCTCAACGGGAATCACCGTCTGCCGCTCCTACAAAGCCCTCTTCACATTCAACGTGCTCGGCCTCTTCAGCTACTTCGCCGCCATCTGGCTGGACGTCATCGTCCACCGTCGCCAGACCCGTCTCGGGGTCTACAACGCCATGGATTCGCAGCCGGGGCTGGACGACTCGGGCGCGTTCGATGTCAAGATGGATGAGCGGCATAGCGAGTCGATGCCCGCTATGCATGATTACGAGAATGTGCCCCCGACGGGCGCCCATGCGGACGGTCGGCCGGATTACGGGCACAATTTGGAGTATGCGCATGCGGGCGATGCGCAGGATTATTATGATTCGGCGCCTGGGATGAGCCACCGTGGTGCGCCGAGAGTGCGGTTTAGTGCGTTGGAGCAGGATGGGCAGCAGAGGCAGGGGAATACGGGGTATGATCCTGCGATGTATCGTTAACGATTGAATGAGGGGTTTTTGTTTCGGTTACTCTCTTTGTCTTTTTACTTCGATGACAGCAGGCGAGGATTTCATGACATTTATCTGGGCGCATCTCATGATTTGATAGGGCGTTTTGGGATGATGACGCGGAATCTGCATGGCGTTCTCGGGGATCAATTACTGGGATATGTGGTATTTAGAGAAACAAAAAGTACGGGGATCGCAGATTGTGCGAGAAATCCAACGACTCTGTTTCATTTAGGGTTCGTTTCATATAGATTAAAAACAAAAAAAAGATCCTTAGATCGGCTGCGCTCACGAAGCAAATAACCATCCAAATCGTAAGATAAGATGAGATGAGACAACACCGACAATGAAGCCGCAGCGAGGCGAAGATTCAGGAGGTATTTTAAAAAGATCAAAGAACGACAGCAGTTTACATGATGACCTCGTTAGAAACATCCTATAGAATAAGTTAGTCAATGGCCACACAGAGAGAAAAAGATAACATACCCGCTTGAGTTCCTTGTAAGGAAGACACACGCAGTTCTGCACGCGGACCTCGTCACCGACACCACACTCCTTGCCAAGAATGGTGATGCTCTGCACCTTGACACCCTGCTTGACAATGCTGGTGGAGTGGCTGCCTACGGGGATAGGAGTGCCTTCCACGCGAGCCCAGGCACCGACACGACTGCTCCAGCCGATGATCGAGTGCATGACGCAGGCGTCGTGGCGGATCTCGGCGTCCTCGAGGACGATGGAGTCCTTCACACGGGCGCCAGCACCGACCACAACACGTGGGCCGATCGAGACGTTCGGGCCAAGCTTGGCGGTGGGGTCGACGGAGGCAGTGGGGTGGATGTAGACCGGAGGCACGATGGTGGCAGAGGGGGAGTGAGTTCAGGCGACTCGGCCTGGAATGCCTTCTGGAGGTAGAGAGCGTTGGCGGGCACAGCAGAACCAGCGGTCTTGATCTGGCGCCAGAAGTCCTTGGTCTCGTGGACAAAGAAGCGGTTGCTGTCGGCCAAGTCAGAAAGGATATCTTGCTCCAGACGGAGGACCGAGGTCTTCTCGGCGTCCTCGTCGTCTCCGGCAGCGATGAAGGAGGCCTCCAAGTTGTCGGAGGAGGGATAGGAGAGGAGGCGGGGACGGGTGGTGCGGCGCTTGATGGCGCTGCGGATGGCGGGGAAGATGCACTCGGTGGCGAAGAGGTAGACACCGCAGTTGATCAGGTTGGAGATGTGCGATTCGGGCTTCTCGACGTAGTGCAGCACACGCTTGGTGTGCGAGTCGGACACGATGCATCCGAAATTCGTTGCGGTCTCATTCGACACTCGTGTACCCAAGATCACAGCCTCGGCGTCCTTCTCATCGAACAGGCGCTCCATCTCGCCAAGCGGGAATGAACAGCAGACATCGGCATTCAGCACGAGCAAGCGCTCGGGCTTGCCCTTGAGGATCGCATCACGGAAGTGGTACAGCCCACCTGCAGTGCCCAACGCTGTGTACTCTCGCAAGTAGATGATGCGGAGCTGGGGGTATTCCTTCGAGGCATCCTTGATGAAGTCCCGGAACACAGTCTCGTCGTAGTATCCGACCAAAATCACTTCGCGAACATCGGGGACCTTTGCCACCGCCTTTAGACAGTGGTGGATGATGGGGTGGCCGGCGACTTCGAATAGGGGCTATCGGAGGAATTGCGTCAATTTTGCTCCAGTGTAGATCCTTACGATCAAGAGAGCGTGCATTACCTTAGGCACATCGAGCGACAATGGGCGGAACCGAGTGCCTCTTGAGGGGCCACCGACCTGTGGACAAGGTGTCAGTAATTGGGGTTACCACAATGACTCCCCTCACTCACCAAGATCACAGCCTTGGTGGAAGCCTGGGGGTTTCCCGCATTGGTACGTGAAGCATGATGATTAATATGCAAGGAGATGCGAAACTTGAAATCCTTAGGAACAAAGACAAAGGGACTCTGGAGCTCTCAAAAAAGCGCCAAGCCGACCCTTTCGGTGGGGGGAGCCTCACCTGACAACATTTTACTCTTTTCGGCTCAGCTCTCGATGCTTCGAGGGTTGGAGGCCTCTTTCTTTCTGTTGTTTAATCTCAATCTAGATTCTACATGTTCCACGCTCACAAGAGCCATATAATACGTGGAATGGTCTTTTTTTTTTAATGTTCAAAGACACCTCAAGTCGCTCCAAGAATAGGTATAGAAGCCTGGCAAACCAAACACATTCTGGTATTTTGAAGTCTCATACATGGTCAGTTCTCGTCATGAATGGATTCTAATCTGTGCGCTTTTTTTTTGGTATTTTGTTCAGCTGTTCAGCTTTCCCTTTCATACGCTCACTTAGAATGCAACCATCAAGAAACACCGTTGCCCGGTGTAGGTACCTAGTACACATTGTTGAAAATCCACTCGGGCGCCCACACACTTTGTACGGCCATTTCAAGCCCACCATTGACCAATCCACAAGCAAGTACAAGTAGTAGAAATCATAAAGACCGCAAAACCTCCATGGCAAATCACCAATCAACCTTCATGTCCATAATATCCGTTCCATTCCACTCTTCAGTCTCCACGTCCGCATCTCGGACAGAGTCCAGCCATTCCTGTGCTTTCGAGAACTTCTCTCGCTCTTTCAGCAAGACAGCACGCCGTTGCTGGCGCTCTGGATCCTCGGTCATCAGATCAAGGCAGCGCGCACGGCCTAGCTGCCCAATTAGCAAGGTCATTCATCATCCCATTCAATAGACTATACTGACCATTGTCACCGAAGATTTCCAGATCATCGCGAAGAGTGTTGACAAGACTAGCTCGACAAATCCGGAACAACTTCATGTGCGTAGACTGACACAGCACATCCAGGAAACGAGAAGATGCAATGTCGTAGTAGGCCAACGAACTCTATAACCGAAGTTAGTAAACTCCAGAATGCCTCCAGAATGCCTCCATGATGGGACTTACGGCCATCATCTCAATCTCTTGAGAGTAACGGTCTGGTCCAAGCTCTTCCGGTTGAAGCTTTCTGACTTTCTCAGCGATCCTTTCGTCGCTAATATCATGCCCCCGGATTTTGAGCCAGCAGATAGCCCGTGCGTAGAAGCGACGGTCCTTCAAGCTTCTCAACGTCTGTTCCATCAGTGCTTGATGCTGTCCCTGGGCCATCGTGAAGGGAGCCTCGTGCTCAGACTTGCAGTAGTCCCGCACCATTTGCCAGTGATCATTCCGGACAACACCCAGGTAGTCCTTCAGGATCTTATTTACCTTCTGGTACAATCCCGTCTGATGATACTGGGAGAATTCCTCCTCCAGAGCTCCAAGAAGCATGCTCTGCACCAGGTGATGTGTAGCTTTCACAAAAGACTCCATAAGCTTTGCCCAATGGGCGACGACCCCTTTGTTGAGGTTTTCAATGGCCCTGGGGTCGAGCTGATTAGGTACTCCAACTGTGTTCGAACGGATCTTCAACTCTGTAAGTTGTTCCAAAGTAAATTTGGCGGCTTTCGAACCTTCAAAATGAGATGTCGAGTAAGGAGTCTTCCTGGGTGTCGCTGGCTCCGCTGCAGAGTTGGTACTCGCTGGGGCCTTTCGTTTCTTAGGCGTAGAGCTAAAGCCCACAACCATTTCACAATCCGAATCAATGACTTCAGCAAGGTCCTCGTTATCCTTTTGTGCAGTGACGTCCAGGGTAGGACGGGTCCTCGCAAGTGCGGTCTGGAGGTCCATGACGATGCGATTCCACTGCTCTTGCAGTGGCTTCCTTCCAGATGGACCGTGTTCAATGCTAGAATTGCCATCGAACAGTTCATGAATGCTTCTTTCTAAGTCCGCAGTCTTTCCCCAAAGAATTCGCTGCACATCCTCCGTAGGGGGATTGGGCAAAGTCTTAAGTTCCTCGTCAATCGTTTTTGACTTTTCATCAACCTGAGAAATTATGTGAGGCAAAGAGCCTAGGATCTGCCGCATAAGGAGCTCAGACAGTGCTGACTGAAGCCTCCGGGTCCCAAAGCGGTCTTGGAACGCAATCATATCCATTTGCCAGAACTTCGTGGCGAAGAAGCTCTCCTCCTCTTGTCGAGCTTGCGCATGACTGACAATTGGGTCAGGATTATTTCGAATTACATAGTAACCATGACCAAGTTTGAACTTGTTTCCTTCCAAGATCTCATGCCACTGGTCAAAGGCCTCAGCGGTAGGTCGACGATCGGGCTTGGTCAATACTCCAAGGGTACGCTCCTTTGCTCCTTTGATATTGCGGACAAGTCGAGCAGCACTAGAATTCGTTGCATCGTCTGTCATGGGCAAGGTCAGGAGTACAATGCAGTGCTCCTGAGAGACATAATCCTTGACGAGGTTCTCAACCAGATTGACAAGGTAGGCCTCGTTGTCCTGCTCAGCTTGACTTATCACACCCGGGAGATCGTAAAATGAAAGATTTGGAAGGCCCGGACCCGAAATATCCAAGCGCACTGCGTTGGGAGAAAACTTCACTTGCGGCCTCTGCGACATATCCGTGATTTTATCAGGAACAAAGTCTTGGGAATCGACGGTTGGGCTGAGAATGGCCAACTGAGCACACCAGATTGCCTTCTTGATTTCGATCTTTTTCATCAAGGTCGCAAAATATTCATCGTCTTGACCTCCAAATGCTGTCCACGGCCCGAGTGGCTGAGACTTCTTGGGAGCTGTAACTCGCTTCGGATCGAAGATGTAACGGCGGGAAAGGTGAATAACACATTTCCATCCTTCATCGCTCTCTGTAAGATTGATTTCCAGAGGACACCGAGTACAAGTGCCTTCAGATCTTGGAACCTTGATCTCTGAGATGCCCTCAATCAGGGAGCTTTTCCCGGTACTCTGGTCGCCGACGACGCATATCTTTGGCAGCGTTATCTTACTATCTTCAATCCCCAAGTGGCTGAGGTCCTGAATCTTCTTAACTAGATTCTTCATGGACAGAGTAAGCTCGTCAAGGGTATCACCGGGAAGCGATTGGTGCCCATTCAAATCAGACTGGCTGCGGGGGACAGACATCGGGGCAGTCAGCTCGGCTGGTGCGACGAAGAGGTTAGTTGACACGAAGGAAGCTGCTTTGGTAGGAGGAGCTAGACTCACGTGTCACTGGATCGGGTTCCGACTTTGGAACGCGGGGAGACATCTTGCTGGACATTATGTGGGCTCTCTTCAGGAAGACAGATATGCCAACGAGATGCGTGATTAACAAAAGGTGATGGTGGACCGAGTAGGAAGGAAGGGTGTCGATAGAAGACAAAGATGATGGTTAGGATGAAGAGTAGGAGGAGGAGGAGGAAAATGAAGAAGAAGAAGAAGAGCAAAGAAAACGAGATGTGCTGGAGACTCGGGTACGTGACAGCAGAAGATGAGATTAAAAATAGTCGACACCAAGTAATTGCTGCGCACATTTCTGTATTGCAACGAGCCTCCATATACGCTCAAGCCTAACTGTTGAACTACCTAGGTAGCTATCTATCTCGTCGACCCCGAATAGTCTTTCCTAGATGTCCATCTCTAATAACGCCATCCAGCTGGCAAAAAAGACTATCGTTTCTGAAACGCTGTCAGATGGTTCACATCTAGAGAGAGCCGAAGTTAGAGCGCATGGTATTGTGAATCTATCGAAGGCAAGAACCCTTCCCACTTTAGCCAACTATAACCCAAGGGATGGGGGATGCAGAACGGTAGGATCTCACTTTGAGGAATTCCAACACCACAATGGATAAATGGTTCTTCGCGTTCTAATTGAAATCCAGGAACATGATATGTGTTTGCTCCATTGGCCTACGCCTCCGAGCTATTCAAGTTTTGTTGATGTTCATATATGAATCACTGTTGACACCCATTGCTAAGTGTGATCCTTGTCAGCTGGGCCCCCTATAAAAAGTCGTAACGATGATCTAGAACCCAAAAGCAATAACCTGAGGTAGATACAGAAACATCACAGGAAGAACATGTATAACACAGAAGATACCCACGATACAACTGGCAAAACGGAACGGCATCACGCCAGTTGAAAACCCATAGGCAAATAGTACTTTGTGTGTAATTGGGCGGTAATCCCAACCTTCATCTCGATTCTCGAAATCATCAAGCTCGTCAAATTTTGGAACAGAGTCCAGGTGGAGTGGGGCTGGAGATGCAGTCAATGCATATTGATTGGACTGGGAACTGGAGGTTGACTTCTCATCATCTTCGGGATCAAGTTAACGAGACAGCTTCGTGGATAGACAAGGCCGTGGTGTAATGCGGCAACTTACCGGAGTTGATATGCTCGAGGATAGGAAGAAGTGGTGAGGCCAACAATACAACGGACATGACTTGCCCGAAACTCCATTCTCCGTTCCTCGATTCATCGGGTCGCATTTCTATGAACGACCGTACCACATTACAAGTACCCCACACATAAGCAAAACACAACCAACTCACCTAATCAAAGTCACCATTGAACTTTGCAGTATTGTTATATATCTTGATAACTTGCTTCGAATAATAGTGAAGTCCATGCGCCGAGAAAAAAACGCGCGCTCAAGAAGGCGGCTAGAAACGAGCGATAGCACAGTAGACGTCCAAGGCTTTGTATCTTGCCATTTTGACAGCAGTTTCGGAAGATGATTTTCAGAGCATTTCGCCCGCGAAGGCTAAGCCAAGTCCTACTCTGACCAAATACCTTGGCTGAGAAGGCTGAATGCAATGTGACAACTCGTGAGGCAACCCCAAAAATGATTACCGTCGCAGAGATCAGCGCCGAGGAAGAATCTATATTGATTTCCATTTTCAAGGGGGACCTAAAAATAGCAAATCACAGCATCGGTAATCTCATATTGTTTATTCGACGAATCCGCTTTGAGCTGGTAAAAAAGCCCGACAACCACAAAGATTGCCAAAGCGCCCATGGCAACCAACCGCCACAAGCGTTCTGGAAAACGCCTTGTCTATGTGATATATACTACTCCACCAAGCCAAATCAGACATCCATGGATGGTTTCTTAGGTTGGATAAGGCTCACTATACCCGTGCGCTAAAATCCTAGACAACTTCTAGTACTATGAAGAGGTGCATGCTTTATCGCTGAAGTAAGCAGTAAGTCACTAGGTGGATGTGCCAGATAGTAACGATAGAGCAGCTGAAGGTATACCGAAGTCAAATATCTTCTCTGACAGATCATGATTAAACCAAAAGGATTTGCCTCGGTGCACGTTAATATTAATCCGGAAAGCTCTGTCGCTGTTAACTGGACCAGTCATTTATGCATGCTAGCTACCTTGTAACATGGGACATGGAAATCGACAAATAACACGATCCACGTGTAGTGTTGTTCTTCTCCAACAACCAATATCATGTACCCGTGAACTCTAAAGGCTAAAAAATTAAGGTTCTTACCGGCTACCTTGTGCTAACCAATGATCTCAATAGTTGATCGAATTCTATCAGACAGACTGGCCAATATATCGTAACTTGGTGTCACTTATCTAGCTGGTAAATACATTTATTAATCCCCATGACGAGCCGGTCTCTGTCCGCACCAACTAGTTTGGCAAGAAAAAGTCAAAATTGGTAAGGTTCTGGGCAAGACGGACGAAAGCAGCTGAAACACTGACAAGGCACAGAGGCTCATGTTGGGCTCAAGCCCTTAGTTGGATAGATCTCCGCTAGAAGCTACCATTGGATTCTTTCAGCGGCAAAGAATTTGGTTTCGCCTAACAAGATTGAGGCAAATGTGGTTAGAAATGATGAGTTTATCGAGATTTTTCGGAGTCATTGAATCAAGCCGGTTCCTACTATGCTAATTAGGGTCATGAGGTCATGAAACACGCATTAAGATTAAATAACAGAGAAAAGCCTCTCAAACTCGGTCAATCGTATGATCGCATCACGCAAAAAAGAACCTGTGAACAGAGTAGAGCGTAGAAGGGAAAACGTAAAATCTCAGCGCCAAGATAAATTATCAAGCAATACAGGGATACGGCAATATAACCACGATATAAAGCCACATAATAGGTATTCTTCGCGATCTCCACACAGAAGCCACCACAGAACTGGACAATAATCACCGCCGTGTGTACTATTGGATGGCAATACCAATTTAGTCCTAGAGATTTAAAGGAAACAACATGTGTGTTGTTAAAAGACGAATGGCCTGGTTTTGTGCCGGCTTAGATCCTCCGTACGCCTTGACAGGACATGATTGTACAGGATTATGGATAGTCCTTGCTACATGAGGCAAAACTTGTCCTTACTTCCTTGATTGCGGATTCATTATTCAAAGAGATCCGCGTCATAGATAGCTTCAAGACTAATTCTCAATATTCCTAGCTCGCTATTCCCTTACAACGACCAACCCCCCAGGATCTATAGATCGGAGTTGCTGAATCTGGCATGGCGGGGTAAAGCCCCACTACTTGCCCTAAGCCCTACATCCCGATTGAGTATTCGTGGGCTCTGGACGGCGAGAAGGGACCACTCGAGTCGGAGCAATAGAGACTGATTAAATCCATATCGGTGACACCTATCTAGCTGTACAAGTATATCTTTGAGCACTGTACTCGAAAATGAGTCATTATGGATAGCTTGGAATGGGGTAGAGCAATGGTCCAATCACAAAGAATGCCGATCCCGCCCAAAATTTCAAATGTCCCTCTTCATCCCACCATCCCACTTTTGTACTCTGTAACCAAACATCATGGCGGATTCCAACCCAATTAAGGAGGCCGAGGTCTCCATGGCCAACCTTCTTCTCGACGAGGTCACCGGTGAAAAGGTGTCCAAGACTGAGTTGAAGAGACGCCAGAAGCAGCGTGAGAAGGATGCCAAGAAGAAGGAGAAGGAAGCTGCTGCTCCCCCCAAGCCCAAGAACGAAAAGAAGAAGTCTGACGAGGAAGAAGAGGCCAACCTGACTCCCAACGTGAGTACTTTCGCTGCTTGGAAATTAAAGGACGCGGGTCATGTCAACGAACGGCCGCACGGGTGCGCTCTGCGCAAGGTGGGGCAATGAGAGCTGATCAACATGTCATTCCAGCAATACTTCGAGATTCGCAGCAAGAAAATCAACAAGCTGCGCGAGACCAAGCAGCCGGATCCTTACCCTCACAAGTTCCAGGTCGACACCGACCTCCGCAACTTCGTCAAGGAGCACGCCGGTCTCCAGAAGGGCGAGCAGAAGCCCGAGATTCCCGTTCGCATTGGTGGTCGTATCTACACCAAGCGTTCCGCTGGTAACAAGCTGATCTTCTACGATATCCGCGCGGAGGGCGTTAAGGTCCAGGTTGTGTGCCAAGCACAGTTCTCGACTGGCAAGCCTTTCGAAGAGCAGCACGAGCTCCTTCGCCGAGGTGATATTGTCGGTATTGTCGGTTTCCCTGGTCGCACTAACCCTAAGAACCGTGATGATGGTGAACTTTCCATCTTCGCTACTGAAGTTGTTCTCCTGGCCCCTTGCCTGCACGCCATTCCTTCCGAGCACTACGGCTTCCAGGATAAAGAGCAGCGTTTCCGCCAGCGCTACCTGGATCTTATTATGAATGACCGCTCGCGTACTATCTTCCGCAACCGCGCTAAGATTGTCAGCTACGTCCGTCAGTTCCTTGATAACCGCGACTTCACCGAGGTCGAGACTCCCATGATGAACGCCATTGCCGGCGGTGCCACCGCCAAGCCCTTCATCACTCACCACAATGATCTCGATATGAACCTGTTCCTTCGTGTGGCCCCCGAACTCTACCTCAAGATGCTGATTGTCGGCGGCATGGAGCGAGGTATGTTTTCCCACATTCTGTCCCTTTTCTGAGTATTCTTTTACATCTTTTTCTTTTTGCTAACTTCATGCGCAGTGGTAAGGAACCTTTATCTGAAATATAAAACGATAAAACCTGGTCGGCTAACCCCTTTTTCCCGCAGTACGAGATTGGCAGACTTTTCCGTAATGAGGGAATTGACCTTACTCACAACCCTGAATTCACTACTTGCGAGTTTTACCAGGCCTATGCTGATGTGTACGACCTCATGGACATGACCGAGGAACTTGTTTCTGGTCTGGTCAAGCACGTTACTGGCGGCTACGAGACCGTCTTCCACACTCAATCTGGTGAGACTTACAACGTGAACTGGAAGGCGCCGTGGCGACGAGTGGAGATGATGACTGCCTTGGAGGAGGCCTGTGGCGAAAAGTTCCCTCCTGGTGACCAGCTGCACACCAAGGAGACCAATGAGTTCCTGAAGCGCATGCTGAAGAAGATGAAGGTCGACTGCTCGGCTCCTCAGACCAACGCCCGCATGCTTGACAAGTTGGTCGGTGAATTCATTGAGAACACTTGCATCAACCCCACTTTCATTACTGGTCACCCCCAGATGATGTCCCCGCTGGCCAAGTACCACCGCCAGAATGCCGGTCTTTGTGAACGTTTCGAGGCCTTTGTTTGGTAAGCACTCATTAATTCCATGCCAAGTTACGTCTCAAACTAACTCTTTACAGCACCAAGGAGATTATCAATGCTTACACCGAGTTGAACGATCCCTTCGACCAGCGTCTGCGTTTCGAGGAGCAGGCCAACCAGAAGGAACAGGGTGACGACGAAGCTCAGATGATCGATGAGACATTCTGCCAATCTCTCGAGTACGGTCTGCCCCCGACTGGTGGTTGGGGTATGGGCATCGACCGTTTGGTCATGTTCCTCACCGACAACTACAGCATCAAGGAAGTCTTGGCCTTCCCCATGATGAAGGATGATAAGACCGCTGCCGACCCCAAGTCTGCCGCCGAAGTTGTCGGAATCGAGCCTGTCCCCGAGGAAGGAATCCGTATGTTGTTAATATCAGCTAATCTCCACGAGCCGGTCTCACTAACGATGAATCTACAGCCCACAAATGAATAGAATGACATGAGTCTCCAAAGAACGGATATTATGCTATGGATATGTCTTGCGCCTTGAGTTTGACACGCGATTTTCTATTCTGATAAATACGAACTATCAAATAGGAATTCAAGGATATCTCGGCCATTACAGCCATTTCCAAGACAAATTATTATTCGTAAATCACGAAGCTCAGTAAGAGAACAGGCATCTCTTTACCAGTAGGTAAACATAGGCTATGAAGTAAACGCCAATACTTAGGGCTAACACGCTTGCGATGTTGAGCGAATATTCACCCCGGGCCAGCTGTTCGACTTAGTCCACGCATAGCTCTTATGCTATCCAGGGTTCCTGGATGTCTGTTTGCTTGTCACTTAAGCGGCACCTTCCCTCAAACTACCAGAAGTCGTCCGATCTCATCAGACTATATAACAAGGCCCAGCTCAACTTACATCTGAGACTTTTCATCGACCCCAAGCCTTTTTATCTACACCATTCCTTCTACTTCATATTTCATCATCATCGTGTTCATTCATTTGATTCATATCGGTATCTGCTTTAGAATATCTTTAAGCAAGCAAGATTGTTGGCATCATGGTTCGCAATACTATGCCGCTTCCTCGCATCCCAGACCTGAGTCTCCCATCTTTTCGAGAGCTCGACGAGTCTATCGAAGCGAACAGACAGAACCATCCTCGCCCTTCTGGTCGTTTCACGAATAACGTGTATGAGGGAAGAGGCAATAGCCTCTCGCCATCACCTCGTACAAGTACCCTTCCTAACCCATGTCCACCCTATCCAGTTAGGGGATGGCACATCCCGCCTGACCCCAGCCAAAATGTTTGTATCCATCTATCTCGCCCGTGGGATTTCCTTCTAACCTCTCGCCAGGCCTTCCGGGACCGGTGGTTCAGTTCTCCAACCGTGCGTCCGCATCGACGATACATATACAAACTGGTCATCATAACTAACGATCAAAAGCAGGACCCTGCAGGAGCTTTCCGACCTGAGATGAGATTTGCTGGGAATAGAGGTAAGAACGCGACAAAAGCATGTCCCATCTTGAGGCAAAAGTCCTCCTTACCAGAACATCCTACAGACCTACCTCTTCCCACCTCTGAAACCCTCCCCCTACGCCCGAGAGTAAGCAAGGCATCCCCAACCGACACGCAGTCCACTCTCAGTTCCGCGCAGAGGATCCTGCGCGAGCGCATGTCCTCGAGCTCCCGGACACCCTCAACACCTGAGGTCTCCCCCAATCCCCCTCGACCAGCCCTAGGGGATCGAAACCTACCGAAACCCACACTCCCAGCGCGCGAACCCAGGGACGACCCAGTCCCAAGCGGCAGAGTCCAGAGACGCCGAATCGGTGTTACATTCTCTGAAGTAGCCGCCCACACAGCAAAGTGCGACGAATGCAACAAGCGCAACAGGAACGGCATGTCGCGGTGCCAGACCTGCGGCTGGCAACTATGCCGAAAGTGCCAGACAGACCGCAACGGAGACCGCACTCACGGGTCTATTGGAGCAACTCATGTCCCTGAGGGAGGCTATACGCCACTGTCTCCCGCTGCGAATGCAAACGAGACTCGACGTGCGGATTTCGATGAAGATGTGAGGGCTGCGCGAACCCTGCTTGAACTTGGATCTTTCGGTAACCGGACTCCTAGTGCCGCCGGTAGTGTCAAAGGCAATGAAGCTCTGGAGATGCCGGCTACTCGCAGCCAGTTCGAGCGTCCAGTCGATGCAGTGTCGCCTGACTCTGAGATGACCTTGTCGATTCCTGAAGAGGGGGTTTGGCCCCAGGGTGGTGATGATGATGTTATCCCTATTGGTGCGGATGGTCTGCCCATTGGATATGTCATCACCCGTCGTAACCCTGTGCGTGCTGCTAGACCCTCGACGATGGCGGAGTAAATTGATCTGGATCTGAGGAATTTATGAGACGACGATAATCTGGCGACAATCTGGAAAGTGAATGTCAGGAAATGATGGGGAGGAAGTGAGAAATTTGGGAACATTGAGGAATTATGGGCAAGCCATTGTCTTGCTTGGCGGAGTACTGGAACTCGGTTTGGAGTTAGGTACAAGTCAACCAATAACGTTCTTTTTTTTGCGATAGATGTGTTTTTTTACAATAAATCAGGAGTAATGCTAGTTATACAATAAGGCTCGATGAATATTCGAGCCAGCAGATGAATGGAGATGGTATCAAAGCCCCAAGGCGATTGATTGATTGACAATCGGTCCCGGTCAACATATTCGTACATTTGAGAGCTAACTCGTTTAGACTCTCTTCACAGCAGAGGCAGCAGAGCTAGAAAGCTGTTGGGAGCGGGCTTTCACGGCCATCTGCAACAGCTTAGCTGTGCGCGATGGGTTCCAGACTCGGCTACCCAAGATCATGACCCAAGTAAGGAGGAACAAGCTACCAGCCTGGTGGGCGGAGGCAAGGGGAGTGGGGACAAGGTAGAGGAGAGTACTGATACCAAGGCCGACCTGGCAACAGGCAAACGCAAACACACCGTGGACACCCTTTCTGGCAGGGGCCGGTAGGTAGCGCTTCATGGTGGGCGAGCGGCGAGTGTAAACCATCAAAGCGCAGATGGCGGTGAAGGTGGACATGGCAAGGATACGGTGATCAAGTTGGACAAGAGAAGGGTTCTCAAGCATGTTGCGCCACCAAAGATCAGAGCGGTCCTCGTGGCGGGAGTAACGGGCGTCAAACAGCTCCTCACTGGGAGGTGCCAGTCCTTTGCCCATGAAGGGGAACTCGTTGTAGATCAATCCAGCATCAAGACCAGCGACAAGACCACCGGAAACGACAGTCGTGAAGACCAAGAGAGCGATACCAGCGACTGAGCGGCGGAAGAAGGCCAGCTTCGGGTCACGCAGCGCATCCAGCTGCTTAATTCCAGCGGCTGCATCAGCCATCAACCGGTGGGACCGCAAGATGGCAAGACCATTCCACAACATCGCGACATAGCAAGTGAATGCAGCAGCCAAGTGAGCGGTCAAACGGTACTGGCTCACTCGAGGGTGACTGCCGGGGGCAAAGAGGTCATCCTTCAAGCCAGACTTGACCATCCACCAGCCCAGGAATCCCTGGAAACCAATAAGACCAGCAATGCCGAAGAGACGCAATGCCATGGGCGTGGTGACCTTCTTTTTGCGACGAAGTAGACTGCGGGGAGCACAAACGAGATTCCGACAAATCGGCCCCAGAGCCGGTGAATCCATTCCATATAGTAGATCGACTTGAACTCAGAAAGGGTCATGTTGGGGTTAAGTAATTGGAATTCGGGGGATGCGCGGTACTTTGAGAACTCATCCTCCCAGTCTGCGGCGTTCATAGGAGGGAGGGAGCCGGTAACAGGTCGCCATTCGGTAATACTCAATCTGTGGCAAAAATTGCCCTGTCAGCTTCTGAGGCCCCTATATCAGACCTTAAGGAGGCCAAGCAATAAAGCAAACGTACCCAGATTCTGTCAAACGTGTTAAGCCACCGAAGACCACGATACCGAAAACACTAGCTGCGCTGCCCAAAAGCCAGTAGGCAACGGCCTTGTCGCTGATTTTGGGGAAGCTCGATTTGGCCTTCGCAGCACCCTCTTCGATCGTCTCTGCAACTGCTGGTGCTGCATTTGATCGCTTGATGCTAGAAGTGAAGAATTGGCGTTTCGGATCGTTCAAAAGAGCCGATTGGATCTTGCTGGGCTGACGTGACGGGATGCTGAATTGGCGGATCGACTTGGCTACGTAGCCCTGATTTCGGATACATTGACGGGATGTGAAGAAATCTTTGGCCAGGCGAGGCGCAACGCTCCGCCATAGTGACGCAGAGCTCCCTAGAGAAGCCATGATTGAGAAGGCGACGAGTGCACGAAGAAAGTTGCTTGAGTTCGGAGAACGTACGATATCGCGGAATGCCCACGGACCAATCAGCGGCGGAGCATTTGTCGGAGTTGAATAATCTTGGAACGCTGTGGTATCTCGAACACAACTGACTGAGTTACATTAATACCCGAGACATTCTAGCCAGCTAAACCGTTCTATTGACAATCGACCCCGAATATCCATGAAAGAGCCAGAGTGAAGTTGATGTTTAAGGCGGTAACACCTCGGGCATTGTTATCGCCGCAGCTCCAACCGTCCGCATTGTATTGATCTGCATCCACTTGACTATCTTCTCAGCGCAGTCCAACATGTCCTACGCCCTGGAGTCAAAGAAGCGAAAATTCCATCGTGTCCTCGAATCGCTATCGAAACCTTCTACGCCTGATAATGCGCCCAAACCAGCCCCTGTGGCGCCTGCGACAGCGCGAGACCGTCTCTCCGCTCACCTATCGATCAAGAAAGTCCGCTTGAGTAGTACCGATCGCTCGGACCTCACAGCAGTGCGCAACTCAATCCAGAAGATCACCAGGCCAGCCCACCGAATAGCCTCCGCAAGCTCGAACAAGCGCCCTACGTTTGTCCCTTGGGATCGCGAACGGTTCCTTGAGCGACTGGAGACCTTCCGCCGCGTCGACCGATGGACATCAAAGCCGTCCCCGATCAATGAAGTGAAATGGGCGAAGCAGGGTTGGATATGTACAGATGTCATGCGTGTCACCTGTGTGAGCGATTGTGGCGGCGCGGTTGTTGTGAAACTCCCTGACGAGATAGACGAACTCGATGGTTTCGACATTGAGAAGGTGGAGGAGCGCAAGGAAGTCCGTGAGTAATCCAGCGCATGTACCGCCATAGTCGAATGATGGCGAGAGACTAACCTACGCATGTACAGGCGCGAGACTGGTGGACGAGTATGCCAAAATGCTAAGTAGTGGTCATGGCGAAACCTGCCCGTGGCGGAACAAAAGTTGCGATGGTAAGTTTTGATCCAATACCGACCTTCCTTTGGTCCCAATACTAACATTTATTCAGCTACTATCCAGCATCTCCCTTTGACCAACTATGATACTGCCCTAGCAGGACTGCATCAGCGCTACACGAATATTGCGAGGATGGGCGATAAATTGCCGGCCGACGATATCGTTCAAACACCAGAGGGACTTGACCTCGACGCTCTCATCAAAGGACTCCCTAAGGAATGGTCCAAAGAAATTGAGGAGCCTGTTGTCTCTGCCAATGGAGAGACTCAGGCTGGGAGCGGTGACAACCAGGAGTCAGCAGAAATACCCCAACCCATGAACCGGGTGGCCCTCGCATTAGCGTTGCTCGGTTGGAATACTGCTTCCGATGGAGCTGCCGGGCTAGTAGAATGCGGTGCCTGTTTCCGTCGCCTAGGGTTATGGATGTATAAACCCAAAGACAATGGAGACGTGACCGTCTACACTTCCCTGGATGTTGCCAATGAGCACATGGAATATTGTCCCTGGATCGAGAAAATAGCCCAGAGCGGCACTGGTCGACCCAACGAGAAGGTGGCGGAACTCCGCGCTGGATGGCAGATCGTCGCCGAGGCCGTAAAGGTCAAACACCGTCGCAGAGTTCGCAGTATGGCTTCCACAGACACGTTGAGGACGGAACCGGGAACACCAGTTGAGACCGCAGATGAGGAAGAAAATGCGGATGCGAAGAAGAAAGCAGACCGTGAGTGGTGGGCTAAAATCCGACGGGTGAGACAAGTTTTGACAGCCAAGTCGCCCAAGCGGAAGGCGGTTTTACCTGACTTGCCTCATTGAACTCACATCCTAATGATCTCCATTTCTATTCAATATTACGTTAATTGGGAAAGCTGCTTTTGTTGAGTGTACATCTTTCAGCGACTTGTGTCTATCAGTTAGCTTCAATCATGTCTTTGCGAGACACGATACTTCGCAATAATGAATTTCAATCTAGATTTGCGACTCTCAACCAGGATTCTTTTGAAAATGTCTGCTCACTAAGCATGTGTCGAAAGACGAAATCCAAAGAGCAATGTAGCTAGATGTCCAAAGTAGATCGGAGAAGAATTAGGGTTGGTTCTGAAAGCTCTGATTGGCCGAGACCCGGAGCTCATTAGACCTTCTTCGAACCTCAGCCGGCTTTACTCTGACTTCCACAACTCCCAGAGCGAGGCAAGATTTCTGAGACCTTGACTTAATATTCTCTCTGTCTTCTACGATTTTACTCTATCCAAGGAAATTATCTCGTTTCCCTTCAAACAGCTACGACCTTTTTTTCTGCCAAACCACTTCTTTGAACAGTTCAGATCTTTGGGACTAAAATCAGTGACCTCTCCCCACGTCGCCATGGATCATTACAACGGAGATAGTGCCCAATATGGAGCTTCTGGACACTCTGCAGCCTACTCACCTACCCGCACGAATACCACACACCCTCCAGGGGATTCCGGCAGACACAGGAGCGCCGAAGGAGACAGCGCGGCGGACGGATCGAATCATTTATCAAGCGCTGCATCAAAGCGCAAGAGACTCCAAGAGAGACATCAAGCCCTCCGGAAACGGGGTCGAACTCCACCATCAGTATTCTCGCGACGCAATCGTTCCCGCAGCCCAAATGACGCCGCGCCACGCGAAGACCGACGCTCTAGATCGCCCCTACAGCCACGCCGTTCTCCTTCCCCCGAAGCACCGCGGCAACGCAAGAGACCGGGTGGTGGAGCACGGCAGGGACTTGTAGACCGCGAAACACTACGACGCAGACAGGAGGAGCGCGAACGCGCAGAGCAGGATGAAGCTATGCGGAATTCCCACCAGCGCGGAGTTGCGGACGTGGTTAGACAGCACTATAATGCGGTCCCCGAGAGAGGACGTGAGTGGCGCAAGACAGAAAGCAAGATCAAGGGGCTTCGAAGCTTCAATAACTGGGTGAAGAGTACTTTGATCCAGAAATTCTCGCCTGATGAGACGTTCACCGCGCGATTTGATGACACTAAGGACTGGGCGGATGATAGCCAGGGGCCGCCGCCTGCTGCGGATCACAAACTTCTTGTGCTGGACTTGGGTTGTGGCAAGGGTGGTGATTTGGGCAAGTGGCAGCTGGCGCCTCAGCCAGTTGACCTCTACGTTGGCCTTGACCCGGCCAATATTTCGATTGATCAGGCGCGGGGTCGGTACGAACAAATGCGTTCGGGTCGAGGCCAGCGAGGCCGTCGGCCACCCCAGCCAATCTTCCACGCTGAGTTCTATCCAAAGGACTGCTTTGGCGAGTGGCTGGGTGATGTCAGCATCGTCCAGCAGGTTGGCATCGACGCCAATGCCGGGCCGGGTGGATCTATCATGGCCTCTCGCTACGGCGGTGGAGGCTTCGATATCGTTGCAGCTATGTTTACTATTCATTATGCGTTTGAGAGTGAGGAGAAGACACGCCAGATGCTCAGCAATGTCGCAGGTTGCTTGAAAAAAGGTGGTCGTTTCCTTGGTGTCTGTCCCAACTCAGACGTCATCAGCAGCCGCGTGTCTACCTTCCATAAGGAGCGCAAGGAGCGTGAGGCTGTCAAGCCTGCTGAGCCGGAGGGCCCCGAGGATGGTGAAGTCGAGGAGGATGAACGGGCCCAGTGGGGCAACGATATTTATCGTGTTCGCTTTCCTGGCCCAACCCCCGAGGATGGAGTCTTCCGCCCCCCTTTCGGATGGAAGTACAGTTACTTCATGAAGGAAGCAGTGGAGGAGGTTCCTGAATACGTCGTTCCATGGGAGGCTTTCCGAGCGTGAGTTCTGGCCGTTGTCACCTTTTGCAGCATAGTGCTAACTGTTTACCCAGCCTCACCGAAGACTACAACCTTGAGCTACAATATCGCAAGCCGTTCTTGGATATTTGGGAAGATGAAAAGAACCACCCAGAGCTGGGTCCGCTCAGTGAGCGGATGGGCGTAAGAGACCGCGCAACTGGTGCTTTGAATATGACAGAGGAAGAAAAGGAGGCCGTCAGTGAGTATTTCATCGGTCTACGTTGTGGAGTTCAATCACTAACAAATCTTGTCCCTAGGTTTCTACCATGCCTACTGCTTCTATAAGGTTTAGGCTGTTGTCAAAGCTTTTCCAATGGTGGTCAAGAGTTGAAAGCAGCATATTACACCCGAGATATCTATCTCATTGTCTATATACTCAACTCGCCAGCGCTTCGCATATGTATCATTGAACATGTAATTATTCCCTCCAATACTAGAATAACCCAAAAACAAGCCTCTATGAACGTATCCCCATTTATGACAGCTCCATTGAAACAACCCCGATGGTACAACTACATCCAAATATCCGATTCCCTCCTAATATACACATCCTGCTGCTGAATCTCTACCACATTCCCATCAGGATCCATAACTATCAAAAACATCTCAAACTGGGTGTGACTGGTGCGTCGAAGATATTGCGCATATTGAGGATGTTGTCGTAGAAGCTTTTCATGGCGGGGAGGTTGGTGGTTAAGAGGCTGATGTGGTTGAATGCGAAGCCTTTTGGTCTGGGGCTGGGCCTATTGTGAAGGGGTTTGAGGTGTTGGCATCGAGACTGGTGGGATTGCAGGCTTGGGTATGGGCTGCGAGAGGATAAGGGGGATATAGTAGAGGCCTGGGAAATACGTAGTCGAGGTACAGAAATTGGGGGTTGGGTATTCAAGTCAATTATTGTATAGCGGGCTATAGTTCGAGATATATTCTTCTTTGCAGAAATTCTAGCGCTTTTAGATGTCTTTTTTTGCCAAGAATCGTATTTCCGGCCTGAACATTAAAAGCATGATGTAGTTGGATTCTTAGCCTTGAAGCTTCAGATTCCTGAACTTGTTGCTTACCCTCGATTCCGCAAATCAGACAATGCGCTGCTCGGATGAGTGGGGGCTGCGAGCAAGGCTAGCTTTGAATAGGACTACCTGGCGATCTCGCAGGTTGGCTGTCTTGCAGGGTTCAGGGTGTCTTAGAAACAGAGGGATGCATGTGTTGTCTATTTTGCGGTCTGACATGATTTGTGTGGTGACATTGCATAGGAGCTGCGGGTGAGCAGCCACTGGCGTCTCTTGGCGATGTCCAGCTCTCGAGACCTTGCTTCTTTCGTTTAGGTACTCATATCTTGCCGCTTTTTGATCATGGGGTTTCAACGCGCTCGGTATTTATCGCTATGAAACAGCGGTAAAAAGTCTGCCAGGGGTGTTACCCATTCCTCTCCACGCCACCTATGCGGACATCTGCATATACTTTATCCAATCTCTCGAATGTCTGAAGTAGCTTGGTCTCGGAGGGAGTTTCTTCCCTATGAAGGTTCCCCGCGCAATTGGATATACGCAGTTGGGTTCTAAGTAGGGTTGCCTTCTATGTTGCTGATATCTCCTACAGACAGATGGGCCCCAGATGCTTGGAGTCGATGGTCTAGGATTATGGTGAACTAAGAAATTGACCTCGTAGTGTGTGTGAAGCTGTATAGCGCTCAGAGGTTGGTTTCAATTGAAACGGAATGAGCTACCTGTATACGTCTGATTTTAGCTCGCTCTGGACGCCGCTCATTGCTGTGTTGCAAATCATAGCTCCTGAAAGGCTGGGTATAGCGATGGAACCGTGCACCGTACTTTGCTGCAAAGTCAGGGCCTTGCCTTCTGCATAAAGCCAGTATACGATCAAGTGGACATATCCCAGGTTCTATTTACTCACACGATAAGCTCAAGTGCATCACACCCATGTCCCTTTGCCATCTATGGTCAAGTTAGGCGAACTGGGTCGAAGTTCTACCTATACCACTACACGCGTGCCTTCCTTAATTGCTTATTCCTCTTTACTTGTCTTTTACCTTGCTCTGAGATAATCATTAACTCTGTGTTATATCGGAAGCTAGATAGTGTCAAGTTTGTATTCTCGTCGCTTTGAAATATTGTAATAGATCCTATTCCTTCCGCTTCCTTTTTATAAAGAAAGTTGCTTATTTACGTTAGACTAAGATCATCAAAAGCTGATCGGCTGATCTAGATATGATATAATATTACTTTGACGATATACATTTGGATGTATACCTCTTACGTAGGCCAGGATACGACGACCCTATATCCATGGATCATCGTAAAGCGCAAGGTTGAATCACGCCAATTTATCCTTTTCAGGACCGGCGGAGCATTGCACTTTTTGAGACGCGGTAAAAGATTGTGATGACTCAATAATAAAGCCTCTCTCCATTCCACCATTCTGCGCATGTGAAGACTTTCTTTGTAACTTCGATAACATCTATCTATTGAACCCGCCAACATGATCGGAAAATATACGACTTTGTTCGCCTTGGAAAATTACAGACACTCCTCAGATATCGATGGAACAATTTACCACGGCCTATTCGGGGGGTACAATTCCAGCCTCCTCATCGATCTAATTTGGGCTGAAACTTGTCTCCGCACAACTATCCAACGAGAAGAAGCGTTGACCAAGAAGAAAAGAGCTACAGAAAAGGCCCTCATTCTCGATATCAAAAGCTCCCAACTCGGCACGCTTGAAGAGGAATTGATAAAGGTCAGAACTTTACGTTCCCATTACGAACGCAATCTCTACGAACAGGAGTCTATGCTCCCTAGAACGTGGTTGAGAAAGGGCTACAATTCGGTGAAGCGCAATCCTGCCTGGTATCTTCGCAAGGAGCTTATCGATGACTGTATAGGCAAAGGTGGCTGCTGTAGCCGGGGTTGTGGATGCTGTGAGACACGTCGATTATCTGCCGGGAAAGGGAGAGGGAAAGGGATTGGGCACTGTACCGCGGAGTGTATATGTTGTATACATGACCGGGGATGCGAGTTTACGGCCAAAGAGAAGAAGGGCTTTGATGAGAGATTCGATCGGATGCTTCGATCTGACAATCCTGCTTTTCTTTTGAAGATGGCAAATGCCTATTTTTCACGACCTCTTGTGTGGAAAGGCAAGGCCAAGGGGAGGTTCATTAAGGCCTAGTTCTAGGTTCATCATTTGAGGATTGCTTTGAACAGTGTTTCTGTTGTCATTTGGGAGTTGCGTGTTGCTCGAATACATCATTTGGTACCCGGATTTTCTTTGATGCTGAAGTACATGTCCATCAAGAATGGAGAAACCTAACAAGGATCAACTATTCAAGTCTTAGATTGGGAGAACAGACATTTGATATACTTGCGATGATGCATGGGGGTATGAATGGATCATCATTGGACGAATATGGAATATATGCTCCAAACAACTGGCTGTACTTCACGAGGTCCACTTGGGCACTTTGTCCGCCGCTGGAGCGATAAGGCTTATCGTCGCTATAACCCCGAACAGGATTAGCGTCATCGCGTCTCGCGTCGGGATTTCGAGATGCGCTTGGTTGGACTTTCTTTGTCAACGACGGGAGTCTGAATTCGAGTCAAAGCATCAGAGCCCGAGTACTGCGAATCTATCTATCCCAGGATCTACACGACCTCAACTTCCCAAAATGATGTCGGCAACACCAGGCCGACGGCATCCAACATCATCTCAATCCCACCCTCAATCACAATCACGGAGACGAAGCACAGCCCGCAGCTCAGACGCAGAAGAAGTATCTCTACCACCATACCAACCCCCCGAGGCACCCCTCACACTTGACAGCCAGCGCCAAATCGCTGTCCTCCTCTCATCTCACCACCTTCGCACCCTCCGCACCCACCTCGAACACGCCGCCGAGAAACTCACACATTCAGGTGGCGAAGTAAATGAGCGCCTTTGTGATGCGCGGGCCCGCTACGAGAAATCCAAGGAAGTGCGACGGCGTCAGGGCGATGAGACCGTTGACGATGATGAGGGGAATGAGGAGTACCAGCGGCTTGCCGAGGCGGAGGCTCGAGTTGATGCTGTCAGTGCGCGAATGGAAGAAAAGACACGATTGATTGTCGATTCAGAACTCAAGTTACAAGGTTTGACGGAGGCGATGACCCAGATTGAGGGGGAGGCGCTTGAGGCAGTCAACGCCGCTCTGGGAGTGAGACAAACCCGCCAACAACGGGCAGTGCAGAGAGCCGATGCTGGCGATGATGCTGATGGGGAAGACCCCGAGGATGGAGACTACGAAGATCCTGCTGAGCGAGAGGCCAGAGAGCGCAATGCGCAGAACCCGCCCAGTCGCAAACTAGATGATAGGTTGATGGAGGGAGTGCAGAAGTGGAATGCGCTTTCTTTGACTGAGAAGTATGTCATTTGGCTTTTGCTTCGGTTGTCATTACTATACCATGGTTTGCAGAAACTGACAGCTATGACCTAGATATGCCAGCAATAACTCTTACATCGGTTTCTACCGAATGGTACACGACTCCAAGTTCCCCGGCGACGATGTACCGCCTCTCCCACACTCATCTACATGGTTCAACCACATGGAAGATATCAATGCACGATCAGGGACTTCAGTACGCACGCGCAACCGGAACCGGGACCCCTCACCTGCCGACTCCGATGACATTGCCATTGAGCGTGAGCGGGTCTCCCTCAAATGTCCATTGACTCTAACTCCCTACGTTGATCCCGTGACCAGCACAAAATGCCCCCATAGCTTCGAGCGCACAGCCATCATGGACATGATCACTCGCAGCAAAACGACCATTGCACCCCCAGCGTCTCGCCGAAACCAGCGCCGCATTCACATGGTCAAATGCCCAGTCTGTTCTATTCCGTTGACTGCGGATGATCTGCGGCCCGATCCCGTTCTACTGCGACGTGTGCGTCGCGCGCAAGAGCTGCAGGAGCGCGAAGATGAAGATGATCACCTCGAAGGAGATGGTCGAAAACAAAAGGACCGGTCTACCAACATTACTTTGGCTAGTGATGGGGAGAGCGATGACGATGCCATGGATGTTGATGCGCCTCCCACCCAGCGTATTAAGCCGGAACCGCTTAGTCAAGCTGCCGATGCTGTTGAATCGGATTTCGATGATTCAGATGACGATGCCGAGAGTGCGGATGCTGAGAATGATGGTGAGTTGCCAAACGGGAGGAATCGGGAAGAATATAATAACGAGGAAGACGATAATAACGGATCAGAAAATGCAGAAGAGGACGGAGAACAGCCTGGCGTGAGCCAAGGCAATGAATTGGAGGATGCAAATATGGAACACGCAGAGGCGGAGAATCAGGAAGAGGAGGATGGTAATGTGCAAGCAGATGTGGAGGGAGGCGAAGAGCAGGATGGTGAAGCTGAAACCGAGAACATGCACGAAAACGCCCCAGATGCTCCGAGCAAGCAAGGGGAGAGTGACGAGGATGATGGCGAGGACTCCGACACTGCTACTGATAGTGATAGTGATATTTCGACCCAGGTCAAGAGTGAGTCAGAGGATGAGGCATCGCAAGCAGGAAGCGACAGTGATTGATATGACACCGCCCAATTCCACTGTTTTAATTGATGTTTCGTTCCCTTACACCGAGCAAATGAAACATTCCGAACCAATGATCTGCGCTGGACGTTGTAAGATCCTCGACAATCGACCGCTGACTGTATCCGTGCTACCTGGACAGGGAGCTGCGCTCATATAGTATTGTGTAAGGAGTCTAGGATATCCGGAAGACATGGTTACCATGCCATTGCAGAAGTACGTACGGAGTAGTAAACCGAAGAGATTCAGATCTTAAACATCCGAAAAGGAGATAACGCTAGGCTCCATGTGGTCTCCCCGCACCCAATGGCTTGGCCCGTGGAACGGCAGCCAATCAGCGTCGGGTGCTTCCCGTTAGCGTGGACGGGCTAGACCCTCTTTGGTCGGCTAATCGCTTCCAGCAGCCCCGACATTTGATTGCCCATTCCTCCCTTTTCCTCTTTTTTTCGGCCCTTTTTTTTCCTTTTGAATGTGACTCTAGTGGCCAATGTCTTCAGCCAAACAGATAGCCGAAGCCATAGGAGTAACCCTGATGACCTGCAAATACTACATCTCCCCCGGTCATTCACACGCGACAACCCGGTTTGGCGGCCCAGATCAAAGAAACAGTACCATCAGGGTGTAACACTGCTATCAAAGCGTCCGGTTTGTATTGCTCCCCGCAACCTCTAACAACCCTCCCTAATCGTGTCCCTGCGAAGCCTTGTGGCCCCATGTCTGTAAGGCCAGCCACCAAAAAAAAAAAATGTAGCTGCAGCCCGTGATCCCTTGAAGCTCGATGCTACCCTGCAAGATGCTATTCTAAATTCCCATACATCTCCTAATTAGAGGAAGCTAGCGTTGCCTTAGTCTGTACTTCGGACCCTTCCCAAAAATCAAGTAGCAGGGGGGGGACAAGCTTGCCGTTTCTCGTTTTTTAAAAACATCGCATGCCTCCTTTCGAACTTCCCTTCTCTCACAACTCTTGAGATTCTACATTTTCTTATCCCATCTATTCTTCTGCGGCCTCGACTCCGCCTTCATTCATAATGGATGAGCGGAAGAACCCCGTCGAACATTCCTCTGAGTCCGTCCACACATCCCGGCCCGCAGGATGGATGTACAAGCAACGCACTATCGGCAAGTGGTCGACGAGCTGGTATGCCTCGCCACGGATTCAGCTAGGCATGGTCGCCTTCGTATGCTTCCTCTGCCCAGGCATGTTTAACGCCCTGAGCGGTTTGGGCGGCGCTGGCAAAGCCGACGCTAGCTTGGCCGATAAAATGGTACGATTGACCTCGGGACATTTAGTCCCCAATGCGACCTCGTTCCCTCCCCACTTTTGATCTTTTGGTCTTTTTTGATACCCCGAGTCCTGATTGGTTACATGTGAATTTTCAATGGTCTAACAACAACAGAACATCGCCTTGTACAGTACCTTTGCCGTGGTGGGTTTCTTCGCGGGAACTATCGTTAACCGTCTCGGTGTCCGCCTCTCCCTGTCTATGGGTGGAGTTGGCTATTGTATTTACTCCATTAGTCTGGTCGTCTCGGAACATAAGGCTGTCGATGGCTTTAACATCTTCGCCGGTGCCTTCCTCGGTGTGTGCGCCGGTCTTCTCTGGGCCGCCCAGGGCACCATCATGATGTCGTACCCGCTTGAGGACCAGAAGGGCCGCTACTTCGCCTGGTTCTGGGGTATTTTCAACATCGGTGCTTGTATTGGTAGTTTGGTAAGGAACCCTCATCCTTCCAAAACATGGCGTGATATTCGCAATGGGCTACACAGTAACTAACCCAAGTCCGCGTAAAGATCCCTCTCGGTCAGAACATCCATGTCAGGGAGAACAAGACCGTCGGCGACGGCACCTACATCGCTTTCATCGTCCTTATGGCTGCTGGTGCCGTTCTTGCGCTGTGCCTCTGTGACGCCGACAAAATCGTGCGCTCCGACGGCTCGCGCGTTATCCTCATGAAACAGCCCTCCTGGAAGACGGAAATCGTGGGTCTATGGGATACTCTCCGCCAAGAACCCTGGATCGTCCTTCTGTTCCCGATGTTCTGGTCCTCCAACTGGTTCTACATCTACCAGCAGAACGCCATCAACGGCGCCTACTTCAATACCCGCACCAAGGCCCTGAACGGCTTCCTGTATTGGTTCGCCCAGATCGTCGCTGCCGTCATCATTGGTCCCCTGCTTGATATCAAGAGCATTCGTCGCACGGTCCGTGCCAAGGCAGCATTGGTGGGTCTGTTCATCTTGACGGTTGTCATCTGGGGAGGTGGATACGCTTGGCAGAAGAGGTATGACCGGGACGATGTCAACCCAGAAATCCACCCCGAGTTCAAGGGCTGGGATTGGACTACCAAGGGCTACGTTGGACCCATGTTCCTTTACTTCTTCTACGGCATGTACGACGCCATCTGGCAGGGCATTGTCTACTGGTAAGATCGCCCCCTCTCTCCCGAGTTGCCAGCTCCGACCGTGCTAATCATTCCTCCAGGATCATGGGTGCTCTCGGTAACTCCGGCCGTAAGCTCGCCAACCTGGCAGGATTCTACAAGGGCCTGCAATCCGCCGGCTCCGCCGTGATGTGGGCACTAGACAGTGAAAAGATCCCCTTCATGAACGAATACGCCTCCAACTTCGGTCTCCTCTGCGGCTCGATCCTCGTCGCCGTCCCGGTCGTCTTCTTCAAGATCAAGGACCACATCGACGCTGAGGACGAAATCGCCGGTACCGGCGAGACCCTCGAGAACGTGCTGCCCCCCGGCGCCCTGGAGCAGAAGCACACCGGCAACGAGAAGATCTAAGTCGAGAAACTAATATCCGAAGGAACCTAGGAATGGATGGGTGCTCATGTTTCTTTTTCATTTCTTCTTATTCCCTCGTGTTCCCTCTTACGGCTATCCCTTGGTGTTTTCTTTTCTTTTTGTGTTTTTTTAATGATTCCCCACCGCTGTTCTCGTCTATTACGAGTCGTTCATGCTGGGTTTTCTATTTTTACGAATGTCCTCTTTTTAATGGTGAATGGTGAACGGTGAACGGTGATGATGGCATGTCTATTATGTGTCTTTCTGTTTTGCGGCCTCCTTTCTATTTGGCCCGTGGAATGGAAATTGTATTCACATGGAGATACTCTATGCTTACGGTTCTCCTTTCTTTTGTAAGAAAATTATTCTCGCTGTAATGCGATTTCGTCGGTCAATGTGTAGCAGGGTTTGCTGGCGCCTGGGTTCTTTTGGAAATTGGTCCAGGCAGTGTAACGCTTGCAGTTCAGACGGTAAGCCTTTGGCGGGCTCGGCCAAGCTCCAGGTTTCATATTCCGGTGCTTATCTGGAATCCTTGGGCGCAATATTCTAGGAGAGCTGTTAACTGCTTAATGCAGTGCATCGATATTAGGATCAATAGTCCGAGATGGAAACTGTTATTTCTTTTTCACTTGGGACATCGAGGATACAATGGTCTACCAAGAAAAGGATGAAAGGTGTACGGAGTACTACGAGTAGAGAATCTCAGAAAAAAGGGGCGATAGAGAATACTATCTGTTCACTAGAGAAACCTAGGATATCCAGGCGATCATCAAGGCCTAAAGCTATCGACCTAACAGGCGAAAGAAAAGAGCAAGACAAGAGGGGGGTATTCGCCTGTCGAAAAACATAGCAAACCGGAAAAAGAAAAGGATAGGAAAATCAGCAATGATGGCTTTCCGCGGAGAATCGGTCCCAAGAAGCTTTCTGGTTGTTTTCCCGGGGAAATCCGTGCAACTTGATTGGAGATGCTTCACTGATAACGGGGTTTTCCGAAGGTCCGTTCATATCTGCCACGGGATGTGATAGAGGGGTTGGTGCGAATGCACATGGAGCGTAACTTGTTTCAGGATCGTTTGTCCTGGACGCCGCGCTTCCCATAAAAATAGCAGATTGGGTCTATGTATCGATAGACTTTGTTGCGTGAAAAATAAAAGATCGCGGGAGTCATAGCCGCGGTGATCAAATCAGCGTAACGAAATACCGAGAACGAGGTTCAGGATCAAGCAAAGCGCTAGGTGATTTACTTGGTGAGGATTTTAAGATAATCAGCCACGATGAGAGTGACCATTCTGCAGAGGAAGTCAGTGGGGAAATTCCGGGGTAAAAAAAGTGGGGGCAACTAACGCATGAGGAGCGATCCGAACGTAGTAAGTTCCGAAGCCGCGGTAGAACCGCAACCAACCCTCTTCCTTGGCGACCTTGCGCGCACAGTCCACCATGCCCTTGTAAGGCAGGGCACCGGTCTTGGGGTCCTTCTGCTGCTTCTGGAGACGAGTCTTGATGAAATCGAAAGGCAGGGACAAGAAACTAGCGAAGAAACCGGCGATACCGGAGGCGGCAAAGGTCTGGTACTGAGTAGACAGAGAGGTGTGCTGCTTAAGCTGAGACTTGGCCTCGGAGAAGAAAGTCAATTGTCCCATGTTGAGGGCCATGGCGCGGACAACGGTCGGCGAGGCACCAGCCCACAGAGCAGCGACTCCCTCGGCACGAGTGATGCGAGCAAGGGCGTCGAACACGGAACGGTAGTTGGCGCGGGCTTCGGGGGCCTTGAGACCATCAGACTGCATGCGCACAAGAGCCAAGTCCGCTGGGTTTCCAATCATGGCTGCCAGTCCGCCGGCAGTGAGACCGGCGCCGGCGCGCTCGGCGAAAGTGACTTTTCGGTCTGCGGCTTCGGCACGAGTGTTGATCTTCTTGATGAAGGTCTCGAACAATCCTAGACGCGCGGTGGTGTACACGGCTTGGCGGAGGAGACCAGCAGACAGACCAGTGTACAGATCGAGGACTTTCCCGGAGGCGATGATATCACGAGTGATACCGAGGGCAGATGGGCGGGGACCAGTACGTGCGCCCTCTCCGGCGAGTTGCAGGCGAACCTTAACCATATCGACGGGCTGGATCACGACTGTAGCGGTCATACCTGCCAGACCACCATTGATGAAAGGCAGAGCAGCACGGGTATACGGGTGCTGCAGGAAGCCTGTGGGATGGTCAATGGCGAACTTGGCTGCGTCCTGTGTAGAGATAGCCGCATTACCGGTGTTGTCCACAGAGGTGGATGCCATAGTCAAGTACGGTTCTGATTAAGTCCTAGGTGCAGGTTGTCAATACAATGCTCGATGTATGTGGAGGTGCAGAATGTTCCGCACGGGAAAGAGAGCACTGACTGGAAATAAAGAGTCTTCGGGGATTAGCACAATCTCTTTGGTGGATTTAGAAGCCACGGGATCTGTCTCCTCGACCGCGGGACTCACTGATGACGTATGTCGCGAGTTGGATGTCGCGAGAGAGGGGGAGAGTGAAGAGTTAGGAGAGTAGAGAAGCGTTGCAAGAAGGAAAAGGAGAAAGGGAGACACAAGAGAGTCACAGGACAATAAGTCAGGTGCGGGGTGTAAGTTTTATGTTGACTGTACTCTGGTACAACGGAAGGGGGTTAACTCGGCACAGCGGGGCCTTTGCCTATATAGACTATTTGTGTTTCTACAGGACGAAAGCGACTATTCATTCCGAACCGGATATTAACCCCCCTTCAACCGAATCAACCGATGGCTACCCGTGGGTTCCCCGCCAGGCGGAGCATCTGGAGAAGGAGACGGGAGTCGAGGCCTGAGATTTCCCGCAGGAACTGCCTGAGCACAGCGGAAATGGAGCGTTTATGCGCTGGGCCAATGACGTCGGACTTGCAAACGACATCATTTCGATTCTCAATGCTATCAACGCGTGAACGTGGACCTGCACGCTACGGAGCTTGTCGAAATGCGGGGATAGCTTGACGATCCTGCATTCCGGGCTTGAACTGGCTTTTTGTATGCGCTCAGAGTTGGAGAAGCTCCGGCTGTCCGAAAGACCTCTTCTGAGTTCCCCTTGCACTCCGTACTATGATTGTGGAACTCCCAAGCCAAGGGGCGATCGCGGGCACAGCGGTAGATGTGAGTGTCGCAGCTAAAATCAGAACAGCCAGCGCTAAACCCTTTAGGGCTCCACGAGAACGCGTCGGGATCCCGTCGTCCAGGACTTCATACCCGTGGATATCTCCTCTCGGGCATATCTCGGAGACCGCCATCCTGCACGATACCCGAGGGAGTTGTGTGTGAGACTACGGGGCTCAACACTATTCCCAGCATCTCCCAACGGGATCTATTCTACACATTATTCCGCGTGAAAATTCGCCAGGAATACCCCATAGCCGTGGGACTGTCGCTATACTCTTGGCAGGGGCCTACGCCAACCCTCAAAGAACCAAAACGAGTCCAGATGGGACTAGCGACCGAGCACATCGGCGGGACGGATAAGTCTGATCGGCTATTCCACACTTTTCTGCCGCTTCCGCCCCTCGGGCCCATTGCCGGGGATATCACCACACGGCAGTCCAATCGGCCTGACATAATTGTTGCGCCCCGCCAGGCCACTGCCCAATCCACTCAATGGAATTCCTAAAAACCCCCTGTCCTTGCTTGTGGCTGCAGCTGCAACTATTAATTGTGAGGATGACAAGAGCCAGTCTACGCTCTGGCCTAAAGATTCCTCCGATTTGGACTTGTTGTTGGTTCGTTTCCGCCGATAACCGGCATTAATTGTGTCAAGTAAGCTTCTGTGGCCGTGCCTGGCGGTGCCTGATCCTGAATCCGCGTGATGGTATTGGTCAATTATGACGGTTCCGGATATAAGTGGTTCACCATCCATCTCGAGAGCACCGGACATGTCGGTAAGTCGAAGCGGAGGACTGTTCTCCGGACAATATATGCGTTTCGCACGGGAAAGTGAACCCCTGAGGATGCGTGCTGAACAGGACACGGGGAATAGACGGGATCCGTTTTCGTGGGCTGAATGTTCGCATTGACAGCATGAGAAGGTCGTCAAAGCGACGTGAGACTTATACAAAACAGCATAGCCCAAGGCCAGCTTTGCATCAGACGTCGCGCGCCGAGGAGAGTGTACCTATTCTTACACTCTTGGATCCATAATCGACCCGTTTTATCGTGGATAGACCAATCTATAATGTAAATTAAAATTTGGACTGTATGTGCGGAGTACAACGTACGGAGTAGACGGAAGACGAGACGAAATACCCAATTGAGTATATCCACGGATCGCTCGGATATCTCTCAATGCTCCCAGCTACTCTAAGCTCTGCAATCAAAAAAAAAATGACATTGACCTCGCACACAGCTATTTACAACGAAACGCAACCTAGAAAACAACAAGTTTATATCCCAACCCAGCCAATGGTGAAAGCCCCAAAACCAAGGGTACCAACATATTCCCGGAGCCCACTCCGTCCCCAGCTAGATCTTGACGAATTCCCACTCAGATGCCAAAGAAACCCAATCCCCAGTTTCCTTCCGCGGAAAGGGTCCTCGGTACGTCGGCAACTCCACCGGCCTAATGGCCTTCAAATTATACGCACAGGCCTTCCGGCATGGAAGCTCGGGAAGCTCAGGTTGCTATATCGAGTGGACAACGAGCATTACCAAGGTACATTGGGCAGTAAGACGGGTTGTAAATACGGGATTGAGTCTTTAATCTATGAACAATAGGTACGTGCCCTGGGAGTTGTTCTCACATTCACTCTTTCTTGGCGTCTGTTGCAAGTTCTGTCGCGATTCCTCAATCGGATAGCTCAGTACTCAGATAGGACCCAACCCCTCTTCCCCCCTATTCTATCGTCTTGCTTTGGGCACAGTATTCAGGGGTAGTTTTCCTTTTCCGATTGCTAATCACCGGGATCTGGACTCATGGCCAGAACTATCTGCTTTTAGCATTCATTTGATTCATCTGAGAATCTCGCCTGTACATCTCTCCGGATTCCGATGGGATTACTGCAGAGTGTTGCCCGAGTCGACAGCGACCTACGATAATCCCCTAAGGAGCAAACTTCCAATGCCTATGAAGAGCACAGACACCCATTCACTGAGTACTCCGTAGATACTACCTACATCCAGGGAGTATGAGATTGGGCACAAGCTGGCAGGGCTTGACAGCCCAAGCACTAACCTACGAGCAACCTAACATGGATGTTAGCCCGCGGCTTTCTATTACAAGACAAATTCAAACAAATAAACCAGGCTTTTTTTTTTGTGCTTTTGTACTTCAATTTCATATGTTCCACTTCCCTTCATCATGTACTCAAAACAGCATATGCACCGCCAACGCCACATTGTACGTAGTCTGGATGTTCCGAATCACAACCACCATAAACCTATTGAAACCCAGTTAATCCGAATCGATATCCTCTTCATCTTCATCATCTTCAAGATCATCAAGATCATCCTCAAACTCCTGACCCATAAACGCATCCATCTCCGCCTCCGTAATCCCAAGCCTCGTAGAAGCCTGATCCAAGATCCCCCAAAGCCTCTCCCGCGAAAGATCCACCAACCCATCTTCTATCCCCCGACGAACAACATCACACTGACCAGCACTCAAATTAAGAACAGTCTGCGCAGTAAGCATACGCCTAGCAACCGCCCCGCCACTGCGATCACTCCGCCACAGAGTCATCAGCTCAGACATCTGGCGGATAAGCGCGATCATGATCTGCGGACATCCATTTGCGAATTCCTCAAACCAGGGCGTTAGCTGTGCGGAGTTGGTGGATACAAATTTCAAAAGGATGTTGTAGACCGGGTCAGCCTCGTTGGGGGTTTCGGGGGGTGGGATGGTGGTGAAAACGCAGTGGATTGCGTCGATTAGTCCCGTTTCGAGAATGTGGGGGATGTCGAGGGGGTTGTGGAATGGGTTTAGGGCTTCGTGCATGCGTCGGGCTGCGTAGTATTGCAGGTCTGGGAGGTGGTATTCACGCGCGAATAGGTAGACTTGGGTGTGGAAGAGGATGGGTTTGCTGTGTAGCTCTGGGTTGCATGGAGCTGGAGCTGGAGCTGGAGCTATGACGAGCTATATTAATTCTGCGGTTTCAAGGTTGTGTGTGAGGACTCACCGAGTGAGGCATCCATGGATGGATCCATTGGTTCTCTTGCCAGGGAGGTATAAGTTTCACCCTCTCCGTCGGGTCCTGCGTACACACCACAGTAGAGGAAAACAACAGCGCAAGAAACGACGCATGCATCGAACTTGGTGCAGTCGATGGTTTTGTTTTCGAGCTCGATCCAGGTTGGTGTTGATTCTCTTTCGAATAAGCTACTCGGGTGAGCGAGGAAAACGGTTCGATTGGCTGGGTCAGGACCTGCAATGACTCTCCATGGTCTGTGATCAAATGGTGTAGGGCTAGACAATGTCAGTTTTGATGATCTGGACTAGGAGAAAATGTCATACCTTTGCGATAAATCTTCTTGGTTGGAATCCATTTTGCAGATGGCGGTCAACTGTCAAGCGTTGAAGGATCGGTTAGCAAACTAAGAGGTGCGCTGGAAGTGAAAGAAGAGGGAATAAAACAACAGAGTCGGTTTATGAAGGAGTTTAAGAGCAAAGAAGCAGATATTTGGGATGAGCAAGGCTTGTACACTGCGATCACAACGCCGTTGATGTGGTCGCCGTACGTGGTCGTCGAATGCGTTTATACTACTTTCCCTGGGATGACCAAGTAGAGAGTAAACAGATAGGCTTTTGGTACTCCTACCTACCTAATTTACGAGGCTCTATGTAATCAAAGCAGATTAAAGATCACGATAGCAAGTAGTGTGTGTTATTATTATGATAGCATAGTATTAAACCTTGCTAGTAGCCGTTGGGTTTAGAAATAGATTCAAGGTGCCCTGAACAAACTCCTAATGGCATTCCATTGTTGCAGTTCTTTTCCCTAGTCTCCAAGTGAGCGAAATGCTTACTTGATGACGTCCAGTTCTAGATCCACAGCATTTAAGAGTGTGTCTACATCCACACCTATGCATTCATCCCAATGCTATGTTATCATGATTATCATATGGGTCATCTGATTCAGGAGGCCAAGTTCCGTTAAAATGGCCTAGAAGTTCATATTTCACATGCCGAGTGTGATTGTCAAACATTGGATATACTTCTTCGTAAATCTACTCATGCTTCCGGCGTTTGTCTCCCCTCACTAGTAGACCCCTTCAGTCCTATAAGAGAATCAAATACGAGAAACTTTTCTACGCTATATAGATACTATAAAAAAGCAAGAGAACGAGCAGATATGGATTGTCATTGCTGGAAGAAGCACTGATATGTGAAGCAAGCAGTCAAATTAGCAAAACGCCAAGACTGCAAGAAGAGACAGAGAGGTACCAACACTCTGTCCACTTGATATCAACCAGGCAACGTCCATGTCACCAGTACTTCTGAAATGGTACGCTAGTTGACGACCAAAGAAAGAGAGAGCATTGTTGGAGGCGTTCCCAACGCCTCGATGAAGAGATGAAGAAAGAGAGTTAACAACAACATGTGGTGTAATGGAGACAGGAGTAAGGAAAGGCAGTTGAGGGTTGTGAACCCCCAGAGATGGATGTAGGTCGCTAGGAGTTTGTCGGCGATAGATGCGTTTATATAGATCGTTTACTTGGTGTGTGGTAATAACACTCACTAACGGTCGGGTGTGGTATTACCACACACGTTCTCTGTCCGCTCTACTATGGGATATACCAGGAGTGTCGGAGGCCCGAGCAAGCTTATAGTGTGAGTTAAGTGAGGGTTACAACTTTACTTAGCCTATGAACGACTGGAAGCGTACAAGTATCACACCAGTCAGATTGGAGCATTGATACTGGAGGTTACTACCCATATAGGTAGTTTTCAAAGTTGATGCTTATGCTTGATTCACGTAGTATGGCTCACACTAGTTAGCTTATAGTACATATGCCATAGTTCAGTCGGTTACGGGGTAGATAAGGAGTGTAGGAGCGTTGAGTGAGGTTAAAGTGCGAGTTAACTGCGAGTTAAGTGAGCGTTATAACTTGACTTACGCTATCAACGACTATAAACATACAAGGATCATACCAGTCAGGTTAGAGCTTAGATGCTATAGATTATGATGATGTACCTGGGTGATTTTCAAAGTTTCATGCTCACACCAGTCAACTTGGAGTATGATGCCATGGGTTGCTCTGTTATAGGATAGATCAGGAGAGTAAGAGGGCCGAATGAGCTTAAGAGTGCGAGTTAAGTGAGCGTTGTCAAGTTGATTGGGCTATAAGCAACTGGAAATATGCAAGTATTATACCACCCAGGTTAGAGCATGTACGGAGATGTGTAGCACTCAGGGCTTGGTTTCAATTGGAAGGGTGTTTAATGAACATGCCTGGCTTTAGACTGCTCTTGCCACACCTGATTGTAAATCATATTCCCTAGTTGAAGCTTTTCATACCATATATCTCTCGAAAATAAAAGAAGGGATCTGTTAAAATGACTTCCAAAAAGACCTTTATGAGTATAGTTAGAAAGATGACCGAAAAGACTACTGAAAAGAAATCGCAAGCCCGCAAACACAGCCAACTATATGAAAGCCTCATTTTGCCTGTTTTCCAAGGTTGGATGTAGATACCTTTCAGGCATTCATCGGGGTCTCTATCATATTTAGGTAGTAATTCGGAATTCTAGCTTCTTTGCCTGCCCTAACCCAGGCATATTGGGGCAAAAAATTCGATTTCAATTGAATCCGACCGCTGAACGCTATACACCTGCGTAAGCATAGATGCTATCTATGGATGGTTAACGGTGCGCCACGTTATGATTTTTTAACACTAGGTATCTGTTGTATGCTGTACGCGTGTAAAAGGTACAAAATCGATAGAGGGCGGTAACATCTATTACCTCAATGAATCGGCTAACAAAGAACTAAAATTACCTTAGTTTAATGATGTGTCTGGAAAAAGTTATATCATGGTTTTATATCTATTTTTAGGTCGTTTTTATATAGACACTGATCTTGAAAATTATAAAGTGCTGAAGAATTTTAAAGTGCTGTGGCAGACCGAGCGCTGGGTAGTTTTCGAAGGTCAGAAGTTCCATGCCCATGTATGGCGAACAAAGACAACCTGTGCTAGCATGGCATATGATCTCTACGTGGGGAGTCTTTAGGGACATGCATGTTACAAACAATCTTGGAAGACCAGTCATTCTTGAAATGTAGAAATAGATTCACTATCTTGTAAGAAATTCCATCGCAAAAGATCACAAAAATAACTCCATATTCAACCAATCCAAGTGTAGATGGCGAAAGATTTTCAAAAAAGCACAACCCATAAGATCGGGGGAAATCAAAACATATCCAACGCTCGTCCCGATACAAGCGGCAGACGTCGGCGAAGAGCATCAACTAATCACCAAGAAAAAAGCAGCACGCCATGCAAATGACTTATTCATCCTGTTTGGGAGAACAAGAAACAAGGAGAAAAAGAAATTTTTGAACATCGCTCCAACCCTCTAAACCTGGGGAGCGGCGGCGAGGACATCAGGAGTGGCCTGGTCGGAGTACTTCTTGAAGTTCTCGTTGAAGAGGACAGCGAGCTTGGTGACCTCGTCCTTGAAGGAGGTGGTGGCGGTCCAGCTCTTCTCGGGGTTGAGGAGCTCATCGGGGACACCGGGGCAAGAGGTGGGGACGGGCAGGTTGAAGGTGGCGTAGGTCTCGTAGTCGGCCTTGGCGAGCTCGCCGTTGTGGATGGCGTCGAGGATGGCGCGGGTGTACTTGAGAGGGCAACGCTTGCCGCCGGTGGTGGCGCCAGCGCCAACCCAACCGGTGTTCAGGAGCCAGGCGTTGACCTTGTGGGTCTTCATCTTCTCGGCGAGCATGCTGGCGTAGCGCATGGGGTGGAGAGCCAGGAAGGGCTGAGCGAAGCAAGAAGAGAAAGTAGCCTGGGGCTCGGTGACACCGTCCTCGGTACCGGCCATCTTGGAGGTGTAGCCGGAGATGAAGTGGAACATGGTCTGCTCGGGGGTGAGCTTGGAGATGGGGGGCAGGACACCGCGGGCATCGCAAGTGAGCAGGATGATGTTGGTGGGGTGGTTGTCGCTCTTGCAGGGAATCTTGGCGTTCTCGATGTACTCAATGGGGTAGGCGCAACGGGTGTTCTCAGTGAGAGTGGCATCATCGTAGTCAACAATGCGGGAGATGGGGTCGAAGACGGTGTTCTCAAGGACGGAACCGAAGCGGATGGCGTTGAAAATATCGGGCTCCTTCTCGGCGGAGAGACCAATGCACTTAGCGTAGCAACCACCCTCAATGTTGAAGACACCGGTGTCGGTCCAGCAGTGCTCGTCATCACCGATCAGCTTGCGCTTGGGGTCAGCGGACAAAGTGGTCTTGCCGGTACCGGACAGACCGAAAAAGACAGTGACATCACCGTTCTCACCCTCGTTGGCGGAGGAGTGGAGAGTGAGGACGTTGTGCTTGACGGGCATCTCGTAGAAGAGAACTGTGAAGACACCCTTCTTCATCTCACCAGCGTACTCGGTACCGAGGATGACCATCTCCTTATCGGCGAAGTTGATGGCCACGGAAGTGGCAGAGGTCATACCCTCAGTGAAGCGGTTGGCAGGGAAAGAGCCAGCGTTGTAGATAACATAGTCGGGGTGGAAGTGGTCGAGCTCCTCGCGGGAGGGACGGATCAGCATGTTGCGCATGAAGAGAGCATGGTAGGCACGAGCGCAGACAACGCGAACGCTGATGCGGTAGCGCTCATCCCAGCCGGCGTAACCATCGATGACATAGATGCGGTTACGGGTGTTGAGGTAGTCGACAGCACGCTCACGGTTGATACGCCAGACCTGTGAAGGGATATGTTAGTCACCAGTCCATGAGATGACGTCATACACGTGATAAACTCGGACCAAAGGGCGGGGAAGGCGAAGGCATGATTGGAAGCCGAGGGGCAAAGTGAGGGGCAAATGACGGGCAAAGGGAGGCTAATCCCAGGGAAACTATGGGGTATGGCTTTGGCAGAGATGACTCTCCCGAAGGATTGCACGGAATCCTGGCAGAAAAAGCTTGACACTCCGATGCATATGCAAGGGTTCCCAAGTGGATCTCTCATCGGGCGCCAGCTGCAAGGGTAGGCTCCCAATCGACAGAGATATGCAATAAAATGGCGCAGAAAAGCATTGAAGAAGAATCAAGTTCACTTACGTCAAGGGTCATGGGCTTGTTGACGGGTCCCCACCAGATATCGCCTTCTGAGGAAGCCTCTTGGACAATACGCTTATCGGAGGGGGAACGACCAGTCTTAGCACCAGAGTAGGCGCTCAAAGCACCGCTGGAAGTGACAGCAGTACCAGTCTCGTAGACGAGAGCATCTTCGTAGAGGGCAGGGACAGCGGGGTTGGCAATCTGGATCCATGTTAGTAAGAGATGCTCCGATGACATGTCTGATGTCTGATGCGCAAGGGAGTCTTACGATAGAGACACGGTCGTAGTCAATGTGAGCAGTCTCGTGAAGCTCCTCCTCAAGCTCGGTGTGACCCTTGCCAGGCCTAGGTGAAGACAGTTAGCGACGACGAGGTCAAGGTAGGGAGAAGGGAGGCGACATACTGAACACCACCGGGGTGCAGCGCGGTGCGATTTACTGATGTGGCAACCATTTTTCTGAGTGAAGTAGAATGATAGTTATTGTTGCGTTGTTTCGCGATTTGTTGTTGAGAGAAATCTGAAGCCAGAGGACCTGGAGAACTGGTGCGGGCGAGGGGTATATAATCCTTTCCGGCAGAGGCCATAGTTGCCATCGGTCTTGGTATCAAGGAGGTTCTCGTACACTTTCCGCAGTGTTTCTCCACAGTTCCACGGGTGATGTCGGGGCTGAAGGCCGAGCTGAGGCGGGCAGACGGTTGACGATGGGATCAAGCGTTGCCGTGGGTTGCAAATGCCTAGAGGCGCAGTCCGACTTGACCCGAGTGGTTCAAAGTGGACACGAACTAGATTCGGAACGAGGGGCTCTATGACCGGGATGGCAAAGAAGCGGGAACAAATGGGAGGGATCCTCAGTATCAAAAATAACTCATTTGAATTTTGGGAGGTTTACGAAGGAAAGTGATTCTAGTTTGTGGGCGCCTTTTTATGGTGCTCTGACGCTTGCGGCGGATTCTCCCCAGGACGGTGTACATTTCTTAACTTTTACGATTTCGTCAATCATTTTCCAAGTAGTAATACTCCTGGGGTATAGATGTAATTGTCAAACAAAAAGGAGCCATTGTTCAGCCACGGACGACAGGAATGACGCACAATGACTTCACCAATCGATATAGTTCCAGTTTCATAGTCCAGAATCGCGGGGAGCTGACATAATGTCGATCAGCCCTTGCCCGCTCCAAGCTGATTCTCGGCATTGCATCAACCCGAATTCCCATCGGAATGGATTGTGGGAAAAGAAAAAATGGATTTGCTCATCCAACTCTCCCAACCCGAGCGCAAAATTCGGCTGCCAAATCGGAATAGATTTGGGGGAGTCAGTTTCAGCAGCAAATAACGGCGTTTAGCCAGCCGAGGATGATGCACCTGCATCCATCGTTGGCGGCGGTGGGGACCAATCAGACGCCGTACATTTCGACCTCCTGCGATGGTCGGGTGGGCAGAAGATATTACCGCTGGGTCCTACGCCCGAATTTCACGGGTTTTCGAGGCAACGATAATGACTTATGAGGGTGCAAGGGAATGCATATCAAGTGCCAACGCCGAAAGGCATGGGAATACGAAGGACTAGATCCTCGTATGCACCGTTGCCGTGTCTACGGAATGCATCTTCAGCTTCTTCTCGGCGTTCGGGATGCGCGATTTGCAAGTGTGGCTTGTGCAAGACTGCAGTCAACCCCAGATCCTTCTCCCCGTAGTGGCGGATACCGAACCGGCTACGGCCTCGGGAAAGTTCTTTTTTTTTCTTTTTTTCGTTTTTCTAGCGCTTTGTCTTCTTGTGGTCCCTTTTTTGCCTCTTTTCTCGAATTCCACTCGGGCCCATTTGGAAACTATTAGTTATTTTTGCGCGATTTGTCTCGGAATTACGTAGTGACTCATCCTATTATAACCCTGCTGATCAGTTTCATTTTTTCCCTTGACGCGTGACACGGATCCCTGGGCTAGACTCTCGAACAGACTTGAGGCTTTTTCTCATTACTAATTGCTTTTCTCTTGCTTTGGGTTCATTTGGGCTTTTTTTTTTTCTTCTCGCACTCCTGAAGTAGTAAGGACTGGTGGAGAAAAAGGGGTTTCTTGTTTCTTGTTTCTCCTCCGCAAAAAGGAGGTTGCTCATCGGAGTCCCCCGTGATCTTCGATTATTGACGCTATTCACAGATTCCGGTTCGCCTTTTACCCCTTTTTTCGTCCGTCCCATTTTCTTCTGTTAGGTGGCCCGGATCAGCATCTGCGCTAGGTACATCATACAGCTCTCGGTCCTGTTTATCGATCCTAGCCAATCATTTCTGAAACTTAGCTTCCTATTTTACCCGTGATATGCCTCTGGTTAATCATTCGAGTCTCCCCTATCTCAATGTCTGCCCAACCGTCGGCAATATATAATTACAAAATGGCCTAGGCCAGTTCCAAGGGGAACCATGATCGACTCATCTCCTATTTTGCCCGAGGCTGAAGATGGGCTTCCTGTCATTCCACTCAAGGATGTTGATATTACCTACTCCGTACATACCTGAAGGTACATAGACCCGAATGTATGTTGTAGTACCTAACTTCGCCCCGACATTATTCATAGATTCCTTTGTTCCCCAACCCCATGACTGATCGCATTGGGCATGATTGCTCCGATCCTGATACATGTTGACACACACTCCTTGGCGTCTTGGCCTTTATCTGGGGAAGTTGTCGCGTGGTCTGGTCACCCTAGCTCCTGCGAATGCGGGGTATAGCGTGGGATGAACTACGAGCCGTGAGCTAAGAACGCACAGATGCATCGTGACCTCACTCGGCGATTCTCGTCAAATCATCTGTGATCAGACTTCGATTGGGATTTTTGGGAATCTTTTTGCTAACTATCGCGGGGACCGCTCGACTATCTTACAGGTCGCCCGGGGCTTCCATGGACGTAAAAGGGTTTTCACTTGCGGATGGCTTGTGCCACCGTTGGCGTCGTCGCGCTGATCGATTGCTCGACTTGGCACGGGACCTCCCAGAAAAGTGCTGTTGGATCATATTTGGATGGGTGTTGGGGTTTACCAGATCCTCCATAACAGAAATCTCAAACTGGAGAGCATTTACATTGACTTCGCTGATATCGCACTCGTCCAAAGCTTCAGAACGCTGCCCGAGTTAGTGATTGAATCTCTTTCGTAGCTTCCGACCATATCTCGAAGTGGCAGAGATATATCAGCACGGAAAGGCAAGTAGCTAAACAAAGCCTGGCCCGGGCTCGAGTTCGATGCTAGAAGAAATCGTCAGTGCATGTTCGGGAAGAGCGAAAACGCCATTTCAGAAAGCGAATATCCAACTCACCCTGGACAACTCAATCGAGAGCACACCCGTGGGTTGCTCGTCCTCCATAGGGCCGCAAACAGAGTGACAAGCGGATTGAACAATGACACCACTTGAGGCATTTGCATTTCCACCAACTCAACCTTTGGGTGTGATACGCCTTAGCCATGATGATACCAAATTCAATAGGGTCCTGAGAAGGACTCTATGGCTCCACGAGAGCCGCAGATCCACCTGCTTCAGAGTGGACACCATTTCCTCCCGTTGTGCCTCCACGCGCCTACCAAAACTACCCGCCATTTCAACCGGTTCGAGGATTGACTGGATCGGCAGTTGATAGTTGGTTGGAAGTTTCGCTCTGGATTGAGCCACCCTGCCAGTCTTCCAAGTCTGTTTTGTGCAAGCATGTTAATCGAAAAGTTCGAAACGACTGCTTTAGAAGCCAATAACTAGAAACCTGGGCAAGAGTTGTGAGAATATTTCGTTGCCAAGATGATACCGAAAAGGTGATGGGGACTTACCATCTCGGGAGGCTTATTGCTTTTGCCGCAATGTCCATGCATGTTAGACATCAACATTCACGCATTTGAGAAAGATGCTTGTTCTCAATGCAGTCGAGTGCGAAAGGCATTTGATGGTCATTTGCCATCTTCGCTTCTTGGTGAGTGGCTTCCGCTAGAGCTCCATGAGTGAGTTCGTTGGAGACTTGGTCGGGAGAGTTGCCCCGGTCACGTTCTCATTGACACGCATGGAGGGGAACATAGTGGGTGGAATTTTAGAATGACTGGTCGATGACAGCTGATTGAATCTAAATAGGGATGTTAATCACACAGTAATCAATCCGTCACGTCCAGGATGTAACTTACGAGGCAGACCCTCAGTGAAACAATGAGAGACAACTGAGAGAGAAAGGGGGGAGAAAACATGCCGAGGAAAGGTAAACATGGAGATAGAACGCGTTAAGGCAGGCGCATGAGCGTCAACCCGAGAGTTCCGATGGAGATTTCTGTTGAACAGCAACATAATCCTGTGGCAACAATATCGCGGTATGGGTATGAGATATCCTTGCCGTTCGGCTGTCTCGTCATTGTGGGGATTCTGAAACATGATCCCAGAATATCTAATTCTATGGGAACGTACTTTTCGTAGTGGTTCATCAAATCCGCGAGATGTATCTTGATTATGATTTATGTCGTATTCCAAAGTTTCTCCATATATATATATGGCTTCTTATGCCATGTGTTCAGAATATATGAGGAAATTGAAGGTTCTTATGGGAAATAGCACGCATTCATAGGCTAAGAACGCCTGAAAAACCAGGACTTCACGAAGAGCAAACTTTTTTACATGATGTTTGTTTGTACAGAGTTATTTCGACCAAACAGCCAACGAAGTAATCTTGTCTCCTGTCGCGTGTGAACAGTCACCTTAGACCATCCGGGCTTGGGAATTGTACCGCGCCTCTGCTTGAACACCAACTAATAGTGATGACATACAGTGTGGTTAAGGCATTCCTAAGAGGCTGAGACCGAATATAGTATTACCTCAATCTTGAGATGCTGCAACTTGGAATATTTTTGAATACTCAGGATCCAATGCAACGTGAATGGCGCTCCACTGTGATGCAACAATCGAAAGGCGCGTGCGACTACTGAGTCCTGAATATAGAAGAGATCAGATTCAAGGGCTTGGAGCGTGAGGTCAAGATATGGTTTTAGATTCGAGGCTGATGCCGGATCCAACCAGCCAGTCGGGCCTGTCCAGTGGAGCAAATTGTTACTAGCCCGATTTGCTCTCTGCCGTCATACATCTAGACCTCGAGATTGCAGCATCTGATTGCGAAAATATCCCTGATTTTCATTTTGGCAGCAAGCCATGGGGTATCTTTGCGAATTGATTCCTTGTGTCGAGATGCAGGTCCAGTGACCAACACCTTACATCATTCGCCCGTATCAAAATCCCCGAATATATCATCACCCCTTCACTAGCAGAGCATACTTCATCCCAAGTAAATATGGAACCCACATCGAAGCCTCCATCCCGACCCTCCCTCGCCAAAAAGGCCAAGCGCTACCGCATCCTGTCAACCGTCCTCTCCCTACTAGACAGGTATCTCTCCTGGCCCCTCCCCCCAAAACCAAAGCTCAACATCGCCATTCCCTCGAAAGTGAGCAAATCTCCCGGCTCAATCCAACTCTACATCTTCACCGCACCCTCAAAATCCGTCTCATCCCGCAAACCAACCAACCCACCACCCCGCCCCGTCCTAATCGACTTCCACGGCGGCGGATTCTCCATCGGCCACGCCCTCGACGACGCCCGCTGGGCCGGTTCCGTCCTAAAAGCCCACCCAGAAGCCGTCATCGTAAGCGTCGACTACCGCCTAGCCCCAGAACACCCATACCCCGTAGCCCTGGAAGACAGCGTCGACGCAGTGATATGGCTATACCAGAACGCAGAGACATACAATCTCGACAAGACACGCTTCGTCCTGTGCGGCACCAGCGCAGGCGGGAATCTCGCTCTAGCAGTGCCCTTCCGATTACATAAGGAACTGCAGCACAAGCGATGGGCGTCGATAGGGAAGATCCCGCTGGCCGGGTTGGTAGCGTTCTACCCGAGTGTCGACTGGACGCGCACGAGGAGAGAACGGGATGCTACGAACCCCATTGCGGCGGAGAAATCCATGATCTCGCCTTCTATGTACAAGTTTTTTGATGATTCGTATCTTCTCCCGGCGGCTCTGCCGAAGCGGCCGGGGACGGGCCGGGTGGATATGTCACATCCTTGGCTTTCGCCTGGGTTGGCGCCGGCGTCGTTGTTGCAGGCGGCTTATCCGCCTGCTGTGGCGATTTATACTTGTGGGTGGGATCAGTTGCTTGTTGAGGGGAATGCGTTTCGGGAGAGGCTTGGGGGGTTTGTGGAAGAGGGGAAAATGGCGAGTGTGGGTGGGTTTGTGGTTGAGGATGTTGTTCATGGGTTTGATAAGAAGCCTTCTTTTTGGAGGGGGAATCGTGATCGGGAGAGGATGTATGGTGATGCTGTTGGTCAGTTGAAGGTTATGTGGGAGATTGATTGAGATCATGGCGGTGGTCCACTATATTGAGATATGACTTCCGCTCTAGGACTCTGGAGTCGGCTTGTCCTTTTATTCCGTTATTCGATGGAGATATTCACGGCACCGAATAAGATCTGCATTGGGATTGGGCCTGCGTAGATTGACAACCTCCCCAGTGACCAAACATGTCTTGCTGGTCCAGTCGAAATGTTCCGGCTTGCAGCGAACCAAAACGTGGTGGAAAATGCTGAAAAATGCTGGTGATATGCCTTGCATCCTGCAAGGCATATCGATGTGCGTTCGATCTGGACGTCAATATTCTGCAGCACTACAAGACAACATATTCCGGAGAAGACTGGTGCTAGCCACTCCTTTCATTTGTTGATTCCATGTTTATTTGCATCGAGGGAATCTCCAGCCCCTGATACAGGGATTTCCATGTGTTGTCCCTACGCTCCTCAAATCAGCATCTGAACAAAATGACTCTTCAGAGCGGGGCACCAGTCAGGCGGGGTTTAAAAGTCAGCAATTTTCTCGCCCAACGCCGTTTACTCTTTCTCCCACATCCCTGAATATTACTTCTCTTTTTAAGAACATCTCTTAAAGTAAGTGCTGGTTCCTCGCATGTGTGGTTGGTGTCTAATTCTCCGTCAGACCTACAACAATGAACGGACACTCTGCCTGCCCTAAGTGTGGTGCCGCTGCCGATGGCACCAACAAGAGCTGTGGCGCCTGCGGTGCTGTACGTTGACCCTGGTCCTTTCATGCGAGCTTAAACTGACCAGATTAGTCTTGCCCCGTCTAAATCATCCTCTTCAGCCGGGACGTGGACTCGATCTTCGAGCTGAACCTTGGTTATCGGAGTGAGTGGGACTGTTTTGTAGTCAAGTGGGGACATGACCAGGGCTGGACACGGATATTCATCCTGTTGGCCATGATACGACGGCAATGAGAATGAAACCAAATCTATTCGAAACCAAGTGCCATTGTTATATACGAGCACACGAGAACAAAATAAAAACGTAGACATTTCCTCCAAAAAAAAGAGAGGAGAAAATGTTTGTTCATAGGGTAAGAAACAACCAACAGGATATAAAGTGCACAATTAAGAATACCTCCTCGTCCCCATCTCTGAGCCGTTAGCTGGGTCTGGTCAGAGTCACCAACCTTGGGCTCTCTTCATCACCAACTATGGTCCCCTTAGACGGGGACGGCGGTCTTGCGCCACTGGGACCAAACACCAATCAAACTGCTGATGGTACCCGCGATACCGACGAGGCCATCGTCGAGTTTGACAATACCGACAGCAGACAACGGCGCGGCAAGATCGCACACGTCGGAGAGGAGCTGTATCCGAGCAGCAGAGCGCTCTCTAAAAAGTCATTAGCGAACCATCACCCCAGTAATAATCGAAATAACATACTTTTCAATCTTCTTCGCCTCAACAACGCCCTCACCCTCCTTGCGATCAATAGTCTTCTCCTTCTCCTGGAGACGAACAAGAGTGTAAACTCCAGCAACAACGCTGAAAATCAATCCCGCGCCCCACGAGCGGTAGGCCGAATCCTGCAGACGCTTGATGGAAGCCAGCTTCCGGTATCCGATGGCATCGACGACGGTGATGGTGTCGAGGGTCATGTAGCTGGCGTAGCCGAGCTGGCGACCGATAGCAAGGTAGCGCAGGACGGGGTCGGCGGGGGTCTTGTTGTCGAAGGCGATGGCGGCGGCCTTGAGGTGCTCGAGGAATTTGCCGATACGCATGATCTTGCGCGTCGTGCCGAACTGCTTCTTCACGGCATTGTAGGGGTCGATCGCGGACTGGGGCTTGTTGGTCCGGTACAGGTACCACGCGTAGAAGCGGGAGAAGTATTGGAGTGTGCGGAGGAGCTTGTCGCGGCCGACTGGTTGCGTGGGTTAGTTTATGCTTGTTCGGGTATGGGGCGGGGCGACAGTTTCCCCGGGTTTCTCGGCCGACTTGCAACGCACACGGCTGTGTGGTTTTCAGTGGCCGCTGGCCGGATTCAGGAAATTGGGATAGATAAAGAGATGTGTTTTCTTGCTCTCTGGAGAGATATGGCACGTACCCGTTGTCGCAACGTAGCGCACCCAGTGCGCCAGCGCAGGGTGGTAAATGAGAGTGTTGGCGACCATTTTCTTTTACTGTTGAATCTGACGATGTGGGAGGAATCGGAATTTCAGACACCAGAGGATGGAAGAATGTCAAGAATCAGATGTGATAGTTCAAATGTGAAAAGGGAGTCGGGAGTTGACCGGCGTATGGAGCCGGAGCACCGACCTCGGCTGAACTCGTGTACTTTCTCGTGCTTGTGGGGAGAGGTCCCGACTTACATACTGTTCTGGGTATTGAAATTAATTACCTCCTTTTGCCCCATCGAATTCTTTGAAATCCATTGAAATGTCTAATCGGAGAATCCGCTTTCGCTGTTTTATCCACTCGGCTGTCACTTTTCATTACTTCTGTTTTGCACGTGAGCCTGCGTCATTCCATTTTCCCGATGCCAAATCTTCAATTCATTCGATCTTTTGCTTTTGTTCGCCAGAATTTTTTTTTTTCGACCGCAGATTCACAATCAGATCCTTCTAAGATTTTTTTTCTTCGCCTGACCGCTTAATAGATGACGGGATACCGCGCCAAGTAGCGAGCTCTAGAGAGTGGGGAAGTTCTTTGCGGAGCTGGTTGTTAGTGTGGCTACTGAGCAGACGTATCACCACAGGCGAGAGAGAATGAAATGACAGATCTACATAGGTACATATATTTTTAAATGATACACCATGCATCATGAGAAGAACCTGAGTCAGTCGCTCTGAGCAAATATACAATCCAACATCCGAGCATCCAGCTGGATGCTATACTCCTTCCGGGGCAAGACAAACATAAAACCTTGACATGATTTAGAGCACAGCGATCTTCTCGCCGCCCTCCAGCCAGCAAATCTTATCACTGATACCCTCAGCCTCAAAGACCTCGCGCAGCTCGTTCCCAAACTGGGTGAAATGTCCCCAAGATTCGTAATGCATTGGAACGAGAACATCAGCCTTGAGGGCACGGAAGAGCTTGGCTCCATCACTGCCCCCCATGGTGATCTGCATAAGAGGACCACTGGCATCATCATTAACGGGAACATGGGCATTGCCCAAGTTCATCACAGCAGCACGAATATGGTATCGGTCCGCAATGGAGTTCAACTCTTCGATATAGACCGTGTCGCCAGTGAAATAGATTGCATTAGGAAGGCCGTCACGACCAGTTCCGAAATCATCGGCGGTCACGATAAACCCGGTGCATTCGTCTCCGGGGACATGTTGGGTCGGAGTCGCGATGATCTTGAACTTCTTGCCGGCAATCATGATTTCAAGCTCTTCCCAGGGCTTCATGCCGTGCACGGCGGGGCGGGGGCTGAGTTTGTTACCGCCATCGACGGTGGTGAAGACATGGCGGCCATCTAGGAGTTGGCGGCCGAGTTCGTCGAGGTTATCGGGGTGGTCTTCGTGGCTCAGAAGCACGGCGTCGATGACGGGGAGTTGGTCAAGCCGGAGAGCAGGGTCTTCTGTCACTTTCAGGATGACACGCCCGGCGTCCCAGGAGGTGCCGGCGGGAGAAAAGAAGGGATCTGTGATGAAATTGACGCCATTTATCTCGAGGATGGCAGTGGCAGTGCCGATATGGGTGACGTTAAGGGTTGGAGACATGGTGATTAAGGAATGAGAGTCAAATATGGACTTGAAGAAACACTACTCCCCCCCCTCGATACTTATAATGCAATGTCCAAAATGGTCCATTGTGGAGGATCACAGAATTTTTCAGTAGCTATTACAAATCTATAGCAAATTGTCTGTTGATGATCATATCCGGGAAGTTTATCAGCTCCATATTGCCCCCGGTCATCCCGCTGCCGGGTTATCCCTCCCAAGATCTCAGGTCGCGGAAACTTATCGGGTAGCCCTAGATCGCTACAGGGTTGGTTAATAAGCTGTCGCCCAAATTTGGCTCATATATAAGGTTGTTATGAAGGATTTAAGGTTGTTCAAGGCATAAAGGTGGGATATGAGATGTGGGATGCGGGATGTGGGATGCGCCGGTGAATTCGACATTGATGATCGACGTCACATCTGGTGCTAGCCAGAGCTGCCCGGGCAAGAACCATCAGTCTTGCTGCAACACGATCTACAAGTCATTTTTTGATAACAGTTACCTCAGGCGTAGGATATATGTATCTACATGTACCGGATTCTCCCTGGCGTGTGGGGCTTTCCTATTTGATCTGCCGCCGCTTTTATGAGGGTGCTCAGGCTCAGGCTCACTGAGTAGATGTCAGCACGGACTCAGATCAGTGATCATGCTCAGTTCAGTCACGTACAGAATGACTGATGCTCAGTGAGTGCTTAGTGAGTGCTCATTAGATGCTCAGTGATTACTCAGTGATGCTTAGTGTCCAATCAGTGAGTAACACTAATGCACTTAGCCTACCGTAGACTATACCTAGAAGGGATTAGCCCCTATAGGGTCGTTTATACTATAATAGTTAGTTCGTTAATAGTATCGCTACTACCCTTAATCTTTAGAGCACTATATCTTATTAAGAAAATACGTTATAACGAAAGGGCGTGGGATAGAGTAGAGAACCCTATCCGTTTTATAATATTACTTCTATCTTTCTTCTAATTTAGAGCGGCTCGAGCTTAAGATCTTAGACATAAAAGCAAACCGTATAGTAGTATTAGTATATAATAATTAATATATCTTCTATCTAAGCGCCTTTTACCTTATATATTAATCTAATATTATATTTATTTACTTTAAATATATCCCTTACCTCTCGGTCGCGCTATACTTAATTATAGGCCGAAAGGACTTTTTTACTAAGCGTGATAAACTCGCGAAAGAGAGGCGCCGTCTATAACGGGAAAAGAATAGTTATACCCCTAGAACCTATAAAGAGGAGGACTCAATTCGGGAGAAAGATAAAAGGCTCCCTAAAACTAATAAATTATACCGAGAAACTATAAACCTTTAGCTCGAGTGAGTTACGTAGTATCTAAAGTAGTAATCCTTTCCTATTTACGTATTCTACTAACATTCCTTTAGGTTTACTATAGACCCGGAGAATAGGTACGAATATTATAAAACTTCCCTTAGTTATCCTACTCTAATATATAAGATAATTAAAGCGTATATTCGCTAGTACGTAAATTCTATTTAAGGGCGACTAAATAACGATAGTCTACCTACGGTAAGAACCGTAAGTGTGTATACCGAGTAATTCTTTAGTGGATTTAAATAATTTATAAGAACTAAAATCGTTCTAGACGATTAAAAGGAAATAAAAATAGTTAGTTTATTCGTAATTTCCCCTCTAAGATTATCTTAAACTCACCTATATTGTTAGGACTGGCGTACTAGCGGGTCCTAGTAGGTAATATAGAACTAGACTTCCGTAGAACCTAGAAAAAACCTAACCTAACCCGGACCTAACCTAACTTAGGTTAGGTTTTAGGGCTATACCTTCGTACCGGGGTTAGGTCCGGGTTATGGCCTTCGACCCGGCTAGGTCGTTAGGGCCCTAAGTTAGATTATAAATAATATAAATACCTTAAATTATAGGATTTATAACTTATATAGATTTTCCCTATATATTTAAGTACTTACTTTATAATCCCTAATAGGTATAATTATTTTTTATATAGAATCATTTTTTAGTAAGTCTAGGAATATTAATATTATAATATTAGTAGATAAATAGTATACTAATAATTAATATCTAATTCGAATATATATAATTATTATTCTCTCGAGTTTTCCGCTTTCTTCCTAAGCTCTATATCTAGATCACCTTAGAAGATATTAGTAAATTAGGCCTAGAATTAATATCGATATTAATTAAAAAAGTATTATCCTTTTAGATATTATTCTCTTACTTCTCTATATTACTAATTAGTTTAATCTTAATAACCTTAAGCTTTTCCTCCCTTTCTTTCTTTATAACCTTAATTTCTTCTTAGGAAAAGAACTTCTCTAAAAGCCTTAGTTTCTACTTTTCTATATTAAATCTAATTATATAGAGAAATATTATTAAATCTTTAATAATATAGGACTTTATTTTATTATAGTAGTAATAATAAATATCCTAAATAATATTAAATAGATATTTAATATCTATATTAATTATTAAAAAAGAGAGTATATTATAAGTAAAAGTAGTAATTATTAGAAAATAAGTATAGTTTTCTCTTTAGAATATAAATAGGCTAATATAAATAATATCTATTTAAGTAAGTAAATTTTTAGTATATAAGTAGATTTTAGATTTATTATTATTAAAATATTAGATTATTTTATTTAAGACTACTTAAAGAGGTACTTTACCTTTATCTAATATCTTATCTAGCTTTATACTTAAATAAGTAATAAGCTATAAGCTCTTTACTTCTTAGTTAGTAAAGAGAAGCTTCTCTTAATATAGAATTAAGACTTTTTATATTAAGGTAACTATTTATTAAGGTAGTACTTATTAACTAGGTAAATAATAATACGAGAGGGATATATGGTTAGAACGAAGGGTATACGATTCTATATTAGTTATAAGACTAAATCTTACCTTTCTTATCCCTATAGGTCTCTTCCTTTTATAATTTAGGTTCCCCGCTTCTCGGGACCGGATTATATTAGTTCTATCCCGATATCGTAGGGTATTCGGAGGGGTCTCCTCCGTCTAAGAGAAAGGGAGCCTAAGGTAAAATAGTATAATAAAGAAATACTATAATAATTATCCCCCCTTCTCTATAAAACCCGTCCTAGGGTTTTAGGTTAAATAAAGGGAAGTATAAGTTATAAGGTAAGAAGGGTTCCTATCGAGTTTATCCCTTTCTCTATCTTCTAGAGTCTCTTTAGTATAGCTATAGTAGTAGCTAATAGGCGGGATATTAGCGATCTAATACCGGAACTAGAGTTAGTCTAGTATCTAGACTACTTACGTTCTAACTTAAAGTCCTTTAATACTACTAAAGGGAAGGTTTTCTCTATCTCCTACCGGTATAATATAATTACGTCTATCTTTTATAAATAATATTATATAGATAAAAAGACTTATAATATAGTACGTTTTTAAATCTTTATCGTAATAGATCTATACTTATCTTATATAAATATTTATTAGTATAATAAGAGATACTTAGGATTTTTCTATTATCTTAAAATTTTTAAAAGTTCTTTTAGATAATAAAATAGAGTTATTAGAGTAGATCTATATAGAAATCGCTAAGAGTTTATATAATTTAGTATAAGTATTTAATATAGCGGTTATTAGTTACTATTTATATTAGAATTTAGTAGGTATAAAGAAAATATAAGTTATAAGTATTTTATAGCTATTTCGTTAATAATTTACTTTCTAATAATAGTTTAGCTATTTTAGGCGAGTTATAACGAATTTATAAATAGTTATTAGGCGGATATATAGACTATACTTAATAATTATAGTTTAACTTAGTTAGATCGGGGTAGACTTTTAAGTCTACTCCCTAAGGATATAGGATATACTTATTAGACTATTATAAAATAGAGGTATTTAGAGTCTATTTCTAATACTTTTATAGTTATATTTAGGGAAACTATAGAAATAATCCTACTTAATACTTTTAGGATTAATAAGTATATAAGGTTTATAACTTATTCTCTTTAGTAAAGGGAAGATACTATATATATAATTCCTTTCTTATAATAGAGGTAGTCTAAAATAAAAAAAGGAACTTATTTTAATTTTCCTACTATAATCCTTCTTTTTTTATATTAGTTTATTATTATTTATACGTAGTTCTTTATATATTTTATAAGCGATCCTCTTACGTCTTATTATCTTATTTTTTATAAGTCCTACTTATTTTTATATAAACCTTTCTTTATTATAGCGTAAGATTATAACTATAGTTATAGTTATAATTATAGTTATAGTTAGGGTCGTAGTATAATTCTTATTAATAACCCGCTTATAGATTAGTCTATACTCTCTTCTTCTTTAGCTACTTCTAAAGTAGTATCTAAGGTTTATAACCCTTTTAATATTAATCCGCTATTAACTCCTCCTTATATAGGTCCTATTAAGATTACTTATTATATTTAAAACTCTAATTCTTCTATACGCTTAAAACGAAATTATCCTATCTAATATTACCTAAATTAGTACGTTATCTATTTATATATAGCTAAGAAAAAGTAGGTTATTAACGAACCCCTTAAAGTTAAGTATAAATCCGAGACTATTAGTTCTATTTCTTATTAATATTATATAGAGAAATAATAAGTATATAACTTAATATAGATTTATTCGCCTTTTTTATTAGTATTAGACCCTAATTATATAGATTCCGAGTAATATTATTAATAACGCTATAAATCTAATCTTAATTATTAAATAGTCTACCCGATTTTTTAAAAAGCTAAAGGATCGCCCCAACTATATAGGATAGGATAGGGTTAATAAATCCCGATTTTTCTATAAATCTACTATCTAGACTACTATTAAAAGTAAGATCTATAGATTAATCTCTAACTTTTCGGTATTAATCTATAGTTACCGAGCTACTTATAGTTTCCCTTTATCTTAAAAGAAGACTCCTATTATAAGTATTACTTTCTCCTTTTTAGGTATATTTCCCTAACGAATTAGTAGGATATCGCTAATACTTATAAATAG